TTCACTATTGTTTTGATATTTGGAGGGTAACAAATTTATGAACTCCTTGAAATTGTCCGGGTTGGGGTGAACGGAAGTCGTCAGGAATTTTATGAGCGCCTCAGAAACAATTCTATGTGAATGGTTTTTACAAAAAAATGTAAACGTTACGACAGCTATTGAAATTTTGGAAAATTGGGAATTTTTAATTCCAATTTTTTGGGGCAAATTGAGAAGACTTTATCGGTTTTATAAACATTAGATTACATAATGTAAATTATTGATAAATAATTAACTAAATAATTAACTAAATAATTAAATATGTTTATGCTGTAGATTTCTTGCAGCTGATATTTGAAATTAAATTATATTTATAAATCTCGGTTACAGGGAATTTTTATAATAATGCTTTCTCGATGTAGAGTTGTTAATTTCATTACTCGTTAATGATCTCTCCTTCATATAAATCCCTGATGTTGTTTACAGAATCGAGGAGATGTTGCCTCTCTGGTGCGAAACCTCTTGGGTCCGATCTACGGTGAAAAAGTGCTGGATCCACTGACGAGACAAGCGAGGGACATTCTGGTTTGTGCTTATCACGGCAACCTGGAGAGCTTCGTGGACTCTTATCTCTCACCTGCCTCCATTCTCCTGAGCGAAGTAAAAAGCGCCGTCACCGAAATAGTGAGTCCCTTTTTACTTTCATCCGCCATCTGCCCAACGAGACGAATCACCCAAAAAAGAAAAAAAATACCCGAAACAAAGAAAAAAAAAAACAGAACAAATTCCCGTGATAATTCACCACTCGAGGGATCACTCCATTTATTATTTCGCCTGCGGTGGGGTGTTGGGACATCCGTAGATTGAGTGAAAGTTTTTTTCAATTGATCCGATTATCGAATCGTCAGAGGGACTCGGTCTACCCCGACGATGACGAGGTGCAACTGAAAATTGCAGTTGTGAAAAAAAAAAAAAACAGTTTCCATGGTAGACACGTATAAAGATAAGAATGGGATGTATCCCCCTATTTTTTTTTGTTTCAATTTCACCCTCGTACGGACTTTTAATTGCACGCGGGTGATTTAGCATTGGAATGCCCAACCGGAGGAAACGAGTGTAAAGATAACGAGTGCAAAGTAGTTTTTGGCCGGGGTGTCGACGATGGCACGGCGTTAAAAGTTTTTTAATCCCAGGTGGAACTTTTCCATCAAACCGAAAAACGATAGTGGGATTCCCAGAGAGAAGAGAAAAAAAGCCACTGAGAGAGTGAATGATATTTTTTCCCACCTCTTCTTCCCCTAGCACTTGGTAATTACGTAAAGTATTTTGAGGGCATGTGTACAAGGACAAGTGAGGTACTAGGGTGCGGAATGATTAAATAGGCTAACCGCCAACGTCCTCGATCGCATTTTCCAGTCGAGCGACACACCGGAATTATCATCATCAGCTGACTACCCAGTACTCCACGATATTCCATCCTTGTACACAGCTACGATTGGGTGTAACGTCCCACGCGTTTACTTGTATGTTTCGATAGTTGTGTGTGTCCCTTGGGTACGAGGTTTTTTTTTTTCCCCTTGTCCCTTCCCTCGCGGATTTAAACGGCCCTCGGGTTCACCGAGGATTTACCGGTTCTGCGCTTGGCGGAAGAAGGCGCGACAGACGTTCTTTCAAACCTTTGTTTTGTTACACATGTTGTGCGCACAGAGTACTTCGACTGGGCAAAAAAATCTACCTCAGTTCAGGATATTCTTGATGGAAGAAAATATTTTTCTTGGCCCCTGGATCTCGACTGCGGGTAATCCAAATCGAGATCTGAGACTTGGAGTTGTGGACAATTTATTCTTCAAGTCGATATCTTCTCAGTTTGAATTTTTTTAAGAAATCTCGGTTATTGAAAAAATTAATTGCGTAATTTCGATGGATTTTTCATCAATTCAAAATTCAAGTGGATTTTATATTCGGTTTTTAGGTTTGAAATTTCGAGTTTTAAATTTAAATCGGTAATTTATCATTATAAATTCCCAATTTTCTTGGATTTTGGTGATACCTTAATGATAATTAGTGATTGGTTTGGGTAATTGAAGAAATTCCTGGGAGTGTGACATTGTGACAGAAAATTTGAAACAGTGCACACAAGAACCAGTCCCTCCAGCTGAACTGAACTGATGGTCAAGGGAGGGGATGATAAAAGGGCGATGGTGGGGATGTTGAAGCAGAACGGGTTTGTCAGAGGTAGAGCTGCACCAGAGCACTCTCCCGTGGTGGTGCGCCACGCCATCACCTCAGTTCACATCGCGCTCTACTCTCTCGTCGTTTTCACATCTCCAATCCATTCAGCACTTTCTGTCATTACCAATTGTCTAATTTTCCCCGCGTTAAAGTACCACCTGAAGAGCGCACAATTTTTTCTGCAATCCGTCGGTTCCTCGTCTCAATTTTTTTTCTTGAACTGAACGCCTAAACTTCTGAATACTTGAACACCTGAACACCTGAACAGCTGAACAGCTGAACAGCTGAAAAAGTGGAAGAGTGAAGAAGTGTAAAGGTGCAGGAGTGCAGGAGTGTAGAAGTGCAGGATTGCAGGATTGCAGGATTGCAGGATTGCAGGATTGCAGGATTGCAGGATTGCAGGATTGCAGAAGTGCAGAAGTGCAGAAGTGTAAGATGAATGTTGAAAGTTTATTTGAGTGACTGCTGGTGAACAAGTGAAAGAGTAGAAGAGTGAAAGAGTGAAAGAGTGAAATAAGACGGATCGATGGGATCGCGTGGCTGATGGAGGGGTAAAAAATTGGCGGGGGAGACAGGACTAAGAGTGAAAAGGAGGATAACATAGACACATGCATAAAGAGGAGTTTGATATTGGGTTGGGGTGAACGAATGGTCGTGGTAGGTCAGTTACACCGGACTGTTGTTGGCTCGGCTGGCGTCTCGTCGTGGTGAATGGTTCGTGTTAGCCACACTCGTGGGACCTGCTTGGTGAGCTGACCTTCGGTCGTCAATGATTTTTTAAAATACCTCACGTGTGTGCGTACAACACATTTTATCCTCAACCTCGGCATCATCGGTTATTTATTGTTGTTGATTTTTTTTTTTTTTTTGAATTCTCAAGCGATCCCTTGTTGGAGTGACTTAACATCGTCGAGTGTTGTATAGTGGCAGTAAAAGGGTTTTATACTGTGAAACCAGTCGTTGGGAGGACCACCCACAGTCGAGTTCCACAGCGTGCCAACCATCACCTGGTAATGTCCTTTAAATTCATACCGCCCATCGTTAATAATCTCGACTATGTTATTTGTAACTCAGTCGTTTCAGTGGATTGAGAGGAATATCCACCTTGACGATGTGAGTTGTGATTTTTCGTTCTCTCGTTTCTGGAGTGGAAAATTTTTCGGGGTATATTTTACACGAGCGTAATTACAGCCCGTCAACGAGCCGACTGCACAACCTAGTGAGAAATTGCATGTGGTAACTTTGGAGATACTCAAGTATCTGTGGAGTTGGGGCTCGTGCGAGGTGTACTTCATACATTCAAAGGGGATCTTGTACATTTACGAGGTTATTTCACATTCGTCTTCGTCGATGATGATGATGATGATGATGCGCCTGGCAACTTTTGTGAGGGGCATTCGTGTTTTACGACAGTATGGAAAAGAGGGGTTCGATCAAAGCGGCACCATTTTTGGCACAAATATATACCGACGTTCATTTTTTTTTCATCCCCTCCAATATATCCCTCATATTCGCCGGGAATTGACTGAGAAAAAAATCATAAAACTTGAAAAAAAATGGAGTAACAAAAAGGGGCCATGCATACTCAATGAAGGGAGGGAATTTGTTATGGAAAATTGAGGGAGGATTGAGATGACAGAGTATGAAAAAGTAACGGGTGGTAACGAAGTGTAGAATATCCGTTCTTATCTCAGTCGGCGATAATGACAGGATGCCGGGGGAATTATTATGCGGGTTAATATGTATAACACGTGCATATGTGCGTATGTATATGGTGTGTATATCTGGTTGGGACCCCTTGAGAGTGAATATATCTCGCGTGTCCGGTACATTCCGAAGTGCTGCCCACACGCTCGTTGGCATGCCTCCTTATCCCCCGTTCTTTCACACCATTTTTATCCTTTTTTTACCTCTCTTTCACCTTCTCTCATTCGGTCTTTCCCCTCGTTTTTTTTCTTTTTTTATTAGTACCTACTCGTTTTATTCACCTCTCGTTTCTCTCATTCCAGCCAAAATGCCCAACTATATGTGGCGAGTCAATGGCGCGAATTCTTGTAATCGTACCGGCATGACGCCTGCGCGTAGGTGGACTCATTCCATTCCACTTTTCATTTTTAGTTTCAATTTATCTATGCTAATTTCTTCAATAGCTAGTTGCATTTAGGGCAAAACGAAAGTTACCACTGAATCTCGATTTTTTGTCATGGGGAAATCTATCCATTCGTGCGACGGAATTAATGGGTTTTTTGGATTTCTCTGTTTTTGTTTATTTCGGAGAAAGAAGTGAATGTGTCGTGGAGTTATATATTATTTTTCCAGGAATTTTTTTCACCACCTTTGAGATAATTATTCCTGGAAATAAAATGATAAATAGAAATGGATGTAAATGAATTTTTCTTCAATCCAGGGAATTATTTTAATGGGAAAATTTGAGGATTAATTGAAAAGGACAATTGTCTCGGGTATTTGGATGATAAATAGTTTTGTCCTTGAAAAAAGGATTATTTCTAGAATTACGGTATATTTTTCAAGACCTCGGTCTCTGCGCTGAATATTTTTCATGTCAGATTATTAGTTGAGTTTTCTTTGTCTGACGATTTGTACGGGTCATTTGCTCGGGTCAGCGATTGAAAACGAGAGGGAAGGCACGTAAATGAATCAATAGAATTATGATTACGATTACGGGGTCAATGGCTGAAAGTGCGGTCAGGCTGATTGATAATTTTCGGTTGCGTCAGGCAGATCAAAACCTACGGCTCTGATTGTCGATGGGTGTTGCTTATCGGGATTTCGCAATTGAGCTAATTATTGAGCTAACTTCTTTCGACTTGGGGGGCTTTTTTTTTTATCCTGGTTCTTTATATGGGTCTTGGGTGGTACTTGGGGGGCACCACGTAGGTGGTTTCTGAGGGCATTGGTGGCTGCTCCATGACGCGCGACCAGCCGGAAAGCGATAGTGGATTTTAAAGCCACCGATGCCTAAAAGTAAGGCTCAAGTTCCATGAGAACACTAGATTCTGTACTTCAAGGAAAAAAATATTTTAGTCTCGACTTCTTTTACTGATACTGTTGAAAAGAACTTTAAATTTTCATCTCATTAGATTTATTTTTTATTAATCCATCGTTCGCGCGTTCATTCGAAATGTTTGAGATATTTTTAGATATTTCGAGATATTTTGAGATATTTCGAGATATTTCCGGATATTTCGAGATATTTCGAGAAAGAAATTAAATTATAAATCAAATCATTTTTTGTATATTTTGATTATTAAAAAAGCAATTTGATTTCAAATTGCCGCGGTTTTTTCAATATTTGAAATTTTGTGAATGAATGAGTAAATAGAATGAATCAATAGATTAATATTAATATTATCAATGGAATAGTGTAATTTTTTGACTGCGCAGTGAAACAAAACCGGAGATTATAGAAACAATTAACTCGTCCGGTCATTTTCTGGTGAACAAGTGATTTGATATGTTGATGTATTTAAACAATGAAGTCATTGAGGGAATTCTTGATTCTCCTAATGAAGCGAGGATAGAGTAACATGAGGGGATTTTTTCGCGGGTTATCAAATTATCTCGATAATGAGAAATTCCATCAGGGGAAAGGCGGTTTGTCAAGATGAAAGTCAATCAATTCGGTAATTTATTAAATAAATTAACGAAGTGAGAATGAAATATCCGAGGCAAGTTGGAATTTATTTATAGGAATTTTCAGGAGTCCGGGGATTTAATTCAATTCATTCAAGTCATCAGATGTTTAAATATCTTTAATGAATTTATGCGCTCATATTAATTATACCCGAGAAAGAATTCCTCAGAATTTTCCCATTTACTTTGAATTTCCCACGATTGATGCAAGAATTTTCTCACTTGTTTCAAACATCGCTCCAACCGAGTATCCGGAAAAGAGTTTATCCGGAGGAATTACGTGAAACATTAATGAAAGAACGCCAAGGCTCAATGAAACAATAATAAACAAAATAACCTTGCATGCACTACATTGAGTACCGAACTATTTACGCAAAGTACTTTATAAAATTGCAGAATGAATTCCGGAAATTTCAATTGAAAGATGCGATTTTTTCTCGTATCAAAAAAACTATTAACCATTTACAAACAATTCTCGGTTGTTATCCCCGCAAATCTAATTGCTCTGATAAATTAATCGACTGCCGAGTAAATTTACTAGGGTACAATTAATTATTTTTCTGAGCGCCACTAGTTGAAAAAAAAATAATAATAATTGATAAAGTGATAATTGTCCATCAGTGCACAGCTTGAGCATGATAGAAGATGGCAGGAATAATTTCCAAAAAAAATAATGAATTTTTGAAAAAAATATTTTCTCGTGGTGTAAACAAGTTGGGAATGAATTTCCATGGCGGATGACCACAGCATTGTCGCCATTAAAATGCCGTTGCTCTGAGGCAGCCACAAATTGAGTCGTCGTTTGCTGGGCATTACTCGCACGTACATATTCGTTGTAACGATACAATGTTCCTGATCTTCTCGGTTGACTGCATGTACGATGAAAACGAATACGGCAGCAAAAGCGCGAGAAGCTAATTAGGCGAGAGCGATACGCGTTGATATGCCACGGAGAGGAGTAACTATTCGCTGGATAAGTACGATGCAACGAGTGTTATAAGAATAACCATACGACTCTTCCCTGTTATACCCTTCCTACAACCATTTTAACTGGTGAATAAATTTCCGCATGGCGCCATTACCCAGCCCCATCCGTCCTCCCAATTTAACCGCTTTTTATTTCATTACGTGGGTTAATTCAAATTCAAAATTCAAAATCCTACGAATTATTATTTCAAATTGAATATTTATCGAGATGTATCTTTTTCTGTTGAAATCCACAAAAGCAAACCCCGAGACATGAACAAATTGACGTAATAAATCATTTGAAATTTTTGGAAATAATTACCCTGAAAAGTTATTAGTTCAGATAATTTTTGATGGGGAAATTTTTTGGAAAAATTTTAAATACGAAAAAGAATCCGGCCACCGGGTTGCCGTGGTTTTTTTTTTGCGGAGATTTTAGCCAATTGAGCTTGTGAATTATTCAAATCTCCACGATTTTCACCGAGTGGGTCTCCCCGTTGGTAATTGCGCATCGCCGGTGCAATTTTCGTGGAATTCATCCGGAAAAAATGACTTCATTACCCCTCCAGGGTAAATTCAGACGGTTGTAATCCGGTTCCCGGCGTTGTCGTTTTGGTATGTTGTATGATACAAAACCCGTGTGGCTCGTCTCAATTCCCCATGTCGTTTTAACGTCGTAATAACGACTTCGGCACGCAACGATACTCGATACGTTGAGAATAGTGAGAAAACCGGTGGTAAATTTGCCGATGCAAGCAAGAGGGAGAGGAGGAAGTGAAACCGAGGTACTCGATGTACTCAGATGCGACACGCATATTCCACATGTGGTGTACATGTGTAAGGGATAATTTGCCGATTTGCCTCCGAGTTGAAAGAAAGTAAAAGAGGGGAATGAGTTAATGAGCCGGTGACAGGTAGAGGTAAACTCCAGAGGAGTACCTGACGCGTGGCCACATTGCCCTGTCATTACTTAGAGAGTAGTAGCCCACAGCTAAAATCAATTTATTTCATCCAAAGTGTGTTTAGATATTCACCAGCTAAATGTCTAATGCCAATGCTCGTTGCGGTTGTCAGTTACACTTGTGACCGTCATTTTACGCACGGTAATCCGCCGTTCCAATCCGAACGTACACTCGAATTTCAGAATATTCCTTCAATCTTTTTCTGCTTCTTTCCCTCCAACGGTATATCCTCATTTTAAATTCTATGCACTTATCCCAGCTGCATCTCCATTCAACGTTCAAATGGATAGAGAGTTTTAAATGAGAATGGAAATCCTTTTTTTTTTGACCATCGCCGGGAGAAAGGAATATAAATGGCTCTAATCATCGGGAAATTCTGGGGGTTTATCATCATATTTATTATATATTATCATTATATTTATTACATTCTCCTACAATTTCCTCGAATGTCTAAAAAATTTCGCATTGTGTGCATGGCCCAGAAAATTTTTTTACAAATGAATTTTCCGACATTTCACGAGCAAATTGAGGTATTTATTTTTATTTTATTTTATTTATATTTTAAATAACCAATGGGTGGGAAATAAACTGAATAATCTAATTATTGGCAAAAATTCGAAAGTTCACGATTGCAAGAAATTTTATTTGCAGAAATCATATTTTTTTTCCGCGTGTCCACGATTGTGTGAAGAAGGTATAGTGGATAGTTTTACCGGGAATAGATGAGGGGGACCTGGGTCTGCGATCAAACCCGGAAGAAGCGTGTGGAGTGCCTACGGTGCCTGATCCTGAACACGGGACAAGCACTCTCGCACGCCATACCCTTTCCACCTCATACCATAGCTGAGTAATCTTGGGTGGAATCGAGTGAGGTCCCCCCGAAAAATTTCCAGGCACGAACCCAACCTAAAAAAAATGAGAGAGCTATAATTGATATCCAATTGTTAATTATCCAAATTATTTTAATAACAAAATCGAAGGAGTTTCGCATGGAATAATAATGGAATAAAACACGAAAAAATTGTGGTTTCAGGATGACGAGTCCCTGCCAAAAGGTTGGCCACTGACCCTGTCAGGTATTGGCCTGATACTTCATCTTGGAGAGCTGGAGTCATCATCGCTGAGACATGGAGAGTGTTATCTCTGCGTGAGAAATAGTGTCCCGTCAGATTCCACGAAGTCAGAGTGGAGTATCACCGATACAGTCGAGGTTAGCACTGGTGTAGACTTTCGATATTAATTTCCATGAATTCAATGGGTATCTCATTCCCCCTGGGTTTATCGAGAGGCCAAGCATTCCGCGAATCTCCACTCGTTTATTTACACCAATCGGACATTCACTGCTGGTCAGAATGTGATACTAAGTGGTTCATTTATTGGATTGTAATAAAACGTTTATTTTATCCTCATTTTGATTGAAGATTGCTCTCGTGTGGAGAACGTCGATGCGTACCAGAGGAATACTCGACTGGGAGAACGAGTTCATAAACAAGGAGAAGGTTGATGGTGGAGGTAAAAGGAACGAGGATACACTGGGTTCGACGCTCGAGCCACCGCATGTATTTTCACCCATCGCAATTGTCCAAGAGGTAGTAACCGATGAGGAGTACAAGCTGACTTGTCCCAAGCTACCAACAATGAGACTTGAGCAGCGACAGACTGGCAGACGCAAGGAGGAGGCCAGAATGAAGATCGAGGATCTCAAGAGGCCAAATTATCTCGAGTCTGTTATCAATGCCACGAGATCGTCGGATTTAACCGATGATGACAGCTCAGATGAGCTTGCCAATCTCATTGGCACTCTTCTACTCACTGTTGAACGTAAAATAGAGCGTGTCAGCATCGATGACATAATATTTCCCTGTCCTGCATGCAGAAACATTGACACTGACGATCCATTACTCGGCTGCAAATGCAGCGGTCTCGAGGACACAACTGGTCACACCGATGATTGCGGCTGCGGTAATGCCACGGAAAAATCGAAAACCTTTGAGGTCGCCGGCATAAAGCACATTGACAGTGACGACGAGGAAGAGGTCAGAATGGGCTTCGGTGAGTTTTCATATACCAACTGTTGAACAATTCACCGGAAGTCATTTGCGTATTGCAACGTCCGGTCGTTCACGTAACCTTTCCACACCTTTTATTCAATTGCAGTTGTTTCTCGTAAATGCCATTTTAAAAAAATCACATCGACCATCTCAACTCGATACCGTTAGCATTAACCGATGATTTATTACGGAATTGCTTTTAATTTCACTGGATGGCTTTATTGAATTGTGAAAGAACAATGGAATTATTAAAACGGGAATGATAAAAAATTAACTGTTGGCGAGTAACAGCTGACTCATCGATACTCGGGTCATCGATTCTCATATTAGATTGTGTTTAATTTTCAATTGAGTGACTATCTCGAGTGGAGATGAGGAAATAATGGAAAATGGTCGCGTGTGCCTTAAACTTGAAACGATTGCGACTCTGTTGTATGTACTCGGTGGAATTGTCGGGTTGGGAACGCCCCAACAATTACGGGCATCGCATTTCATGAGTTGAGACTTGAGAGGAGGTTGAGAAAAGAGGAGAGAGATAAGAGGGAAGAGGTAAGAGGGAAGCGGGTTGCAGTAGTGCCTCCCGGCATTGGCTATTGCTATTCGACGGGTGGTCCTTCCCATTCTGCATCTTTTTCCATTCCATCCACCTTGTTTTTTAAGCTCAAACAACCACCTCTTCCACCACTACGTCCCTCTCCTCCATACCTCACCGCAACTTCGATCATCCCACCTATCTGTTTAGCCGCCAGAGATAGGTTTTACCACGCGAGCTATCCTAGACAGCTGGGTTTCCACTCGTCAGTTTCCAGTTTCCATTTGAGAGTTAATCACTTCCGCTGTGTACGAGTTATGGGGCCATTTCAGTCGAATTATTTCCATCGATCATTATTCAGATTAGATGGGTGACGATCAATAAAAATTATAAGCCTGTTGAGGAAATCAACGCGATATTGCTGTATGGAATTTATGAATCTGTCATTTTTTGAAAATTATGTCGTCAGGGGAAACGTTGAGGGAAATTGCAGAGGTTTTGACAATTATTCCAGGAAAATTAGGAGAAAGCGGGAAGAGTCAGGTGACTACTGTCTTGAATTTCGAATTAATCGAAAATTCAAGACCGTCACTGGGTGTTGAATATTTCAGTAGTCAAATGGTGTAGGGAGATAAGTTGACTTTAACGCTTTTCTTAATTGTCGAGTTATCTCGAAGACTGTCGACACAAGGAGGAAGCAGTAAAAGATTTTTTCCAGTCGGTTGAATTTCCCAGGAAAAAATGTAGATATCTCTTGATTCTCTGGCATTAACAGTGTAGATAGATGTTTAAATTTGAAAAAAAAAGGTGAAATTTCTTCGATGGTCTCGACTTGACTTGATGAATTTGTACTTGCAGGGGCAAAGAGACTGGAGGAAGTGCCATCGCCGAGGTCAATTCACGATTTGCCAGAACGTGTTCTCCATTGCGGCCTGCGACTGCCAGGCAAGTGTTGTTTAATTAATCTCTGGAATCTGTAGTTTGATTGACAAAATGGAATGAAATGATTTAACCAAATGGAGTGGAATGACTTTCTGGCCGTCGGGCTTACCTACTTACCGCAATCGTGATCCCGCTCGTGTCTTCTCGAATGCATCCACAAGACTCCCCCCCTCAGCCTTTGGAGAAGACTTACCCACCGTCAGCGTGTCAATAAAGTCGAATTCAGGATGTGACCCGGATCCCAGGATATCCGAACGTGGTTATACTCTTTGGAGAGTTTATATAGTAGGCACGAATATGTGTCGTGCCTGATCGATAATGCCCCTCTCACTGACTCAACGAATCAATTTAACAAAAAGCTATTTTACTGTATGAGATTATTATAAGGAAAATTAAATAGAATTTTTTCTTTATACCCCAGGATATGCGGACGACGCGAGTGGCAGACTCGTGCTGGAGTTTGAGAACGAGACAACGGGGAGAGAAAAAATTTGCCCGAGGGAAATTGCATCATACCTTTTGTACCTCGCGAGACTACACAGGTAAAGCTGCAAGTAAAACAGGGCTCAATGCTCGTAAAATCAAAGGGACTAGATAAATTCTTCTCACTCCTCGTTCTCTCTCATTTTTCTTCTCTCTATTTTTTTATTCCCCCCATTTTTCTCTCGTTTAACGCAATGATTTTTATTTCCCACAGTTCTGATCGTACGAAGAACGGATGGACACTAGTTATTCGAGGAGGTAATGAAGAGGATCTGGAGACATTAGACCGAGCACTTGTACTTGTACAGGGTCGTGTGCACGTGCGTCTCGCTCTGTTACTGCGAAATAATCAGGACCAAGACCAGTCCGTCGACTCGCAATTTCCCCGGAGTCACGTCAAGGTAATTTCACCCTGGATTTTAAAACCCACATCTTTATTTGTACAATTGTTATGTTACTGAGTTTATCGATTCAATTAAATTGACGGTAATAATGAGTTATTATGTTGAATGAATGGAAAAAAAGGAGAGTAGGGAGGGAGGGAAAAAAAGTGTAGGTTGTATGGGGTAATTGCCCTTCCCCCATTGTCGATCAAAGTACATTTCACTTTGTGGATGGACTCGGGACCATTCAATGGGCCCCAGCAGCCACAGCCCGCATTTTCAGTCGTTTCCCCCTTGTGTCCACTCTTTCAATTACCAATTGATCCACCTCTCCCTCTGTTTCTATTCTTATCGTTTGCTTGTGTGCACCATTTAAACGACCACTCGGAAGAGAACCCCCCAAGATCACATTGCCCATCTAATTCCAATCGACCAACCGTAAGATTTCATTGAATTTCATTTGTATCGGGTTGTATTGAATTCCATTTCAGATATCGAGCGTCGATGATGCCACGATTAATCGGCGATTCCCCCGGAGAAGGGACCAACCATTTGATCAGGACCAGTGGATCGCTTTTTACAAGGTAAACAAATTAATTTCCACCCGCAACATCAATTCCTCTATTTTCCATCAAATAACAATATTAGTTGTTTTTATTTTTTAATTCGTCAGTTTGATGTACAGTAGATTTGATGTTTTATTATAGTCGCACTTTTCAATTTTTTCTTTCGCTAATCTTTCGGTTCCACTGCCCTACATTTGGAGTCCAAGATGTAAAAAATTCATTATTTCCTCCAATGAGGCATTAAATTCCGTAAAAAATGAAGCCGAAAAATAAATTCCACTCGTATTCGAATTTGCTATGAAAAAAATCACGTTAAGATCGCAGCGAGCACGTGAGGGTGATCTCATATAGTCGGATTCTCTGAATTCACTTCCTCTACATCCCCATGCACGCGACTATAACGAGAGTCTACTGTATTCAAGATGTGCCTTTGAAAAAAATTATTTCGTTCAGTGTGTTGAGTGCATTTGCATTGCTCTCGAAAAAAAGCGAGAAATAAATAGAAAAAGAAAGAAATAAAGAAAGAAAAAGAAGGAAGGATGAAGTATAAACGTGTCTTTCAGGAATATGACTCTGTGATGTCAGACTGGCAGGCATCAGGTCGTCGCCTAGTGCTCGAAATGTCAGAATTAAAAGACAGCAGTAATGTGGGCACCTCCCTGACACCCCTGAGTCGTCTCCTGAGCGAGTCATCATCATTGAGAAGTACCCGAGAGATGAGTGAGGCACTGTCTCTTCTGGAGGATCGTGCTGCACCAGTGTCACACCTGGAGTACACAGTGGGTGCAGTGAAACGTGCGAGACGACTAATGGACGAGGTATCCAATGCAGCAACAAGACTCGAGAGTTCATTCGAGTCGCGTCGGGCTACAATGAGAAATTTGGCTGTTCTACGGACGATTGAGGAGCAGGCGAGAGAGGTAAGCCTGATGACTGTGAGAGGTCGAGAGACAGGTCATTTGCATGATGAAGAGAAAATGACTGTATGGAGTGTGTAGCGTAGAATCGTTTGAATCTCCAGACAAATGCGTCGTTTGCTCTTTGTCCAGCTTGAACTGCTGTCTAGGATAAGCCATGGGCACAAAGTAGCCGTACCTAGCTCTACCTCGATACCATTGTTATATCCTGAACGCTCATGCAAATAAGTGAGCGCACACTGGCTACTCCTGGATACAAACTCTTTTGCCATACATGACGCCTTATAGGCAACTCAGAGAGGCATTTTCTTACTCGGCAGCCCTTTACTCCTCTCTCTTTCTCTATCTCTCTCTTTATTTTTATCCCTCTTTATTTTTCTCCCTCCTTCTCCCTCACACACAATTGCCCCCTTTGAGATATTCCAACGTCGTGTGTGCAATGGCTCTTGTATACACCATGATAAAAGAATGAGAAACATTATCTCTCTCTTTAAACTCAAATATCCTGCCTATGAATGATAGGGGGATGGGGGGTGTGAGAGGAGGGAGAAACAATTTACAATGGGAGCTGAGAAAACATCGAGAAAATGAAATCTATTCAGTATGTTTGAACGGTTAATTGTGCACACACGAGTGGGGCTTTTGTCATTGATTCTCATTATTTTTTTTAAATGTCTGATTAAATTCATTTCAATAAAATGCACTAGTGATAAGATTGAGGGGGAGGGAGACAAAGAGAATTGGCTGAAAGGAATTCCTCGGGCATTATACATATAAATAAAGTCTAGGCACGCGGCTAGCGATTGCGAAAGTTAAATAGTTGTCCCTAAAGAAACGCCGAAGGGGTTGACTTTATTACCATTGCGCTTCTCTCTGTTCTCTTGTGAAACAGTAGATTGCGCAAATTTGTTTAGATCCGGTTGGCGTGGTTCATTTTGTTTAGCTCCTCATTTTATTTTATTCAATCGTCATTTGAGATAATGAAAGCGGAAATCGAGTGGCCGCAATTGTAGATGATTTTTCTATTTCATGAGCAGATGGGCATTGAACTCAATTTAACTGAAAAATTGTTTTATTTCGGGGTTTATTGAAAATCGGGGAGAAGTGAAATTAAAAGGCCGAATTCTTGAGAGTATCTGAATTATGAGAAGTGCGTTTCATTAATAATATTTTGACGCGAGGGCGGCAGGTCCTTGGCACGGCCCAGTGACCCGAATTTGCCGGGAATTTCTGTAGATGAAACGATTGAAACCCTCAGGGCCCATCCGGCCCCGAACTCCACCCAAAACGATGATCCACTGACTAAAGAAAGAGCTCCATTTTTCTTCCATATTCCTCATGATTTTTGCTTGATTTGCCGTTCAGCTCTTGTCTTGGATATATATTTTTTCGGGGTCGTGATCCAAATCGCCCAAAGCGAAAACGAGAAAACGAGAGCTCATGTGTGTGCGGTGTTCGCTCATTTGGGCCGAATGTACCGCCCGCCCCAAGAAAAATTGAATCCTGTCTCAAGACGTTGCCTTTTTTCTCATCTTTTCGTATCTCATGTTTCATGCTCGCTTTTTCTTTTTTTTTTTTTGCTCAATTATTTTTTATTCAACGCTGCAGGTACTTTCTTGGCTGTGCAAGAAGGGAGAGGATGTACTTGCGAAACACGCCAGACACACGGCAACGACCCTCACAGCAGCACGTCTGCACGAGAGGGATTTTGAGAAATTCTATTTTGCATCTATGGTGAGTGACTTTTTCTATTTTTTAAATGACCGATAAATGGTAGAGATCTCCTTTACCAGTGAATGAATGGGGAACTCCCTGGGTAAAACCAACTCATACCGATTTCAGACAATAGGTGCCACCTACCGTTAGACCGATATTTTCCGTGGGAAAAAAATATATTTTCAAAGTACAAACTCAGAGTAAATATATTCTCAACTTCCACAGAATGAATTTGTCATTTTTCATATCAGCACTGACGTTTAACGAAAATATTAAGAAAATTTTTGATAAATCGATTTTTCCCCATTGGATTCTTCATGAAATATCTCTGAATATATGAGAGATAGCAGATTTTTTGTGAAACATCTTTTGCAGCGGGAAAAAAGGCCTACAAAAATGGTTTTAACAAAAATTTTGGGATTTCTCTTAGATTCAGAGATATTCCTCGAAGAATTCATCTCGAGTACTCATATATTTTGGATTTTCTTCATTTTGAGAATATGAGGAATTTGTGAATATTATCGATTTTAAAAATATATCGAAACGATATTTTTAGTATGCGCACTCCCTAAAATTATGAATTATTCGATATTATGTAATGAGAATCAATAGAGTATGAAATTGGCTTTTCAACACCTCAATTTCTCATTGAATTGCTCCACGAAATGATCCCCAAAGTGCTCACCCTTCATTACACATGAACGAAAATGACTGGTAATTATTTGACGAATTCAATCTAAGAAGAGTTTCACTCAATGCCCAAGTTTTTCAATGGTGTAATTTGCTTGTGACGTGGGTACGTACTTGCACCAATTGCACTTGGATTATCGATCGAGGCCGCATAATGCTCATGCTCCCCTTTTGCACCGTAAATTACTCTTATTCATGTGTTCAAACAAAAAAGTGAAAGAGAAAACTAGGGGGTTAAAAATAACAGCGAGATTAAAAAAATATATAACAACAGTAATTGAGGGCATTCGATCGTTTGTCGAGGGAATCAACGCCGGATCAATTGGTATTTGTTATGCAATGAAATAAAGGATGAAATAGATCCAGATAAGGGGATTGGAGAGACCTGATGTACTTGCGTGTCACGAAGACGTTTAAAAGCTGAGTTAAGACGATGTTCGACCGGATTACGTTCGTTCCGGTGACCCGATTGGGCTTTAGCATACCTTCCAACGTGTCGAGGTGACAACGATGTGCGTCGCTTCACAATTTATCATTTTAGTTTTATTTTTTCATTTCCATTCCATTCATTTCTCTCAGTTTTTTATTCAACAACGGATTTTCTATTTTTTCGATAACCAAATCCACGACCTTTCTCAACATTACTGTGTCATCGGGGACAACTCGTGCTTCATGTTCACGTGATAACGACAACTATCGCTGACACTCTCTGATAACAATTGGAACTCGTTTTTCCACTCAAACTTTTTTACGGAATTTTTCCTGTCAACGGGAGAATTGTCAGTGGCACTCTTCCGGTCACTTTTTTTTATTTTAGTTAAACCAGTGAAAAATTCCAGTCACACTGAATTTCAGTGGACAAATCATTCGTATGGAATTGGGGGAAAGTTGGAAATTGGGATCAGATCAGTTTAATATTCATAATTATTTTAATTTTATACGAGGAGAAAGCATTGAAGGGCCGTTTTTAGGGGATTAAATTTTCCAAAAAATTCTATTTAATATTCCTTCCTGAAATTAATCGCTTTTGATGTTAATCGATATTTAATAAAAATGTTAAACTCGATTCATCGCAGCTCAGAGGTTCAGAACTTTTTCAAATGAATTCTTCTGGATAATTTCTCTCGTTGACAAATCCTCGCTGGGTATGTGACGATGGTTAGTTTTTATATTCTAGATTGATATTTTTTCTTGGGAAAAAAATAAGGTAGAATCGACCTCGTCTACACAACGTTCTCGCACGCACGTTCCTCGTAGACGATGTCTTCAGCGTACTGATGAATTGGAAAACCTAACTGTACCCCATGGCTCCGTGTCATTTCTTCTGCTCACGTTTAAGAAATCATTTGTTCAACATTTATACGGGAGACTAAAAAAAATCGCGACATCCTAGTTAATAAATAATACACTCATAAAAAATTGGAGATTTGAAATAAAAATTTCAAGTGAAAACGTGCAATTTTAAAACAAATTACAAGTCACAAGAGATTTCTTCGGAATTGTGCATTGACGAATTTATATTATTTACATCTTAAAGGTTCGAAAAATTCTTAAGCTTTCATTAATAAACTATAAATCACAATTATCGCGGATTTCCGGTATTTTCAAGGCGAATGGAAAATGGAGGATGCGTTTTTAATTAAAATTAAATTGAAATTCAATTGAAATTAAGGCTGGGGTGGATTATCTATAGAAAAGATAATTTACTCCGAAATTCGGATTTCTAATTATTGTGGCAATTAATCGTTTTTTAAAATAATTGTTAGCTAGCGTTCTAGCGATTGTCAACAACTAGGCCGCTAGCTAACAATTATCGGAAAAAACGATTAATTGACGGAGTAAATAAAAGTCCCAATTTCGGAGTAAATTATCTTTTCCAGACAGTCCATCCGGGCTTTAAATTGAAATTGAATTAAAATTCATTTGAAGCTCACGATAAAAATTCATATGAAATAGTGACTGAAATAGTGATGAAATTCCGAGAGTATCTTATGAGAAAATATAAAAGTGCTTGATAGAGTGAATGAGAGGCAGTTTCCCACGTTCCTGCAGTAGTCTGATACGAATGGGTGCATGTATATGCATGAGGTTCGATACTTGAAGTAGTACTCCATGGTCTTGCTGGGAAAGGAGAGGGGAGTAATTAATGAAAGGGAGCGCCTTTGAAAGCGATCCGCTTTGCCACGCGTTCTCTTATTTTTCACGCCCGCTAAAATCAACTAGATTGCCACGCGATGACACGTGAGTGCGAGGACTTCAAGTCTCCCGATTTTTTCAATTAAATTTTCTTCACGGACGAATCCCTTGAGAACCGCTTAAATATTCCATTCGCGTGTCTTGAAATATTATTTTTTCGTTATTAAAATATCCCGACATTATACGAATTAATGACTTTTAATTGTTGACCGTTAATTGATCAGATAGGAAATTTCTACGAATTTATTATTCGTTATAGTTTATTATAGTTAATAACAATCATGAAGGATAATTAAATGGAAGCGAATGATGGAAAGTGTTTGTTTCATTGAAAATATTTTGAAGGACTCTGATGATATGAATTGCAATCTCTAATATATTTTTTGTGATTGTTTATTTGGAAGGAGCTGCATACCATCGACAGTCCTCGAAACATTCATAAACTATTTGACATTCTCCATCGTAGCTCTCGCATTATCCAGATAACTAAATATTCACCGAGACGTGAAACACTGATTCGTGCTGAACCACATCTAACTGAATTCCTGAAGAACCAGAAAATCCAGCGACCCCTCACATAAAATACTTTATCACTGCGAAGTATTTCAATTTTTTAGTCACACCTAAAATTGAAAGTTCCCCATTGAGCCGACAACCCAAGAATAAAGTTCCCTGAGCACGTGAAAATGTCCCTCGAGAGTCTAGAATCTCATGCATAAAATTTTCACAAGACCCTAGTGAAAATATTTCGGCGAAACTTGTCGTGCGCACATTCAAGATGTCAATGCACCCGCGGTGCCTGGCAATTCTATCTCTCAAACCCGTGGAGCAAAAGGTAAAAAACAAAGCCGTTGACTTTAGCTCGTTTTTTTTATTTAGTAAACACCAGGTCGACTCGGACAACTTGCACACAATCGTGAAGACACTTATCCCCAGAAGATGTGCCTCACAGTGTTAGTGCTACAAGCGCATCCCCATCTATGTAAAAACCACGTCTCCACATGAGCACAACTCTCCCCCCAAATACTTCAGAGAAATTGATCAAGATCATTTGCATTCTCTCGTGATTGCAGAACCGGGGAAAATGAGAAAAGAAAATTATTAACAACGGGAGATATCCCTCAGGCGTGTTTAACCGTGTGTTAAGTGGACAATTACATGTTTATAAAATCTTAACGTACACTCTACTAACCCAGTAAATTTCAACTGAAGATCCACCAAACAAGTGGAATTTTATCATGCACATCAAGATGACACAATAAATAATCAATAATCCCAAATTAAGAATAAAAAAATAATAAAAATGCGTTTTAAATATTAAATGCAAATTAAATCCAACATATATACTATAACAATAGAAGAATCAAGAACTACAGAAAATATTTTTTCAAGCCGAACCATGCACTCTCCAATTGCATGTGTAATTAAAAAAAAAAATGTTTAAAAAATCATTTATCTAAACCAAAAAAAAAAACATTCCTTTCTTTCATTGCGTACCATAAAATATAGACGCGGACGTCAGTACCTGGTGCAATAAAAATGATCGACGCATTGACGAAATGATTATAATGTATTACGATTATAATATTATTCGGAGGGATTTAACGGAATTAATGTGATTATTGTTGGCGATGGAATGTGGAGAGTGGAAATAGTAAAGGTGAGAGATAGATGTAGATAGGGACGAGGGGAGGGAGTGAAAAAAGGTGAGGAGTTGGGGTGAGGCTGTTGGTGGCTGGTGGCTGTTGGATTTGAAGGGAATGGCGGGATTGGTGCGGTGAGAAGGGGAGAGTGAAGCCAGGACCGACATTAGGAGACGGCTCGACCCAGCGTGGTAATACCGGCGTACGGCAGTAGGCCAACAGCCGTCGTCACGCACTCCCACAGTTTCATATCGTCAAGTATCACGACAATAGTGCACCACAGTGTCATCAGATCAATCAACATCAGAAGATTAAAGGCATTGAAGACATCTCCACAATTTTCCCATGAAATGTTAATTGAAGAAACGTTTTAATGTGAAAGTGCGCGTGCCCCTGACCATCCGCAACAGCCAAATGTCTGTACGTCATCTGGGAGTTATTTGACAGCGGATGATTGTTTCCAGGGTCAAGCGGAAAGTTTTGCCCCCGGAGGGGTTAAAAATATTATCGGGTCCAGGCACGCACTACCACCTGGTGCACATACGATTGATCACTTTCCCAAAGGGAAGTGCACAGATAGCTTTCACTTTTCTGTGCGGTATCGAGGAATACGAGAGATCATACGGCACACGAGGCACAATGGAGAGCACTGGATGTTGATGTGTTGATGAGGAAATGGTGGTGGTTGTCATGTATCATTTGATAACTCACGAATGTTGATAACGAGAGAAGAGATTGATAGGAGCGGCGGATGCCGTTTGCTCGCGTTTCGACGTCGGCCAGACGTCTCGGAAGTGTTGGAAGTGTCAGAAGTTCGGGATGAGGTTGGAGATGTTGTCGATGATGTGCGGGTGCGGTATGTCGAGGTGTCGGACGAGGTGGAGAGGCCGTCGAGACCGCGGAGGAAGAAGGACTCGAGAGGGCAATCCAGATCCTCGTCGATGGGTTCAAGTCTCGATTTGAATTCAAAGTTGATCAGGTTTGTGCCGGATGGACTCAAGAGGGTATTGTCCACACCCTATAACTTTGAGCACTCGCACTCACTACTGGCCAATACCGAGGCCAATCACATCCAGCATCGACTGGACAACGCTCTCAACGGCATTATTCCGATAAGATATCAGGTTGTTGAACCTGAGGAAAATTGTACGGGGGATGGGATCGTGAGAAATATCTACAGGCAAACGCATAAAGGCCAGAGTGATTGGATCCTTGAGGGGGACAATGATCGGGCATGCGTATTTCTTGGCTTGAGATCTTTGGATGAGGTTGATGCACCTAGTGTTGTCACGTTGACCCCAGAGTTGCTGCCACCTCCACGACCACCACGAAGAACCGAAAAGTCAACCAGACGCGATCGTCAACGGGCCAAATTACTCAAGAAACGGACAAACAATTTACGATCCACGTCCGTCCCCGTGAGTTCAATTCATTCAATTTTATTGAAATTTTACGGAAATTCCCAGTGAAATTTCTGCGGATAGTCTTAAAAATTTTAATCAGTCAGACTATTAGGAGTCAAACGAATTATCTCATCCACAGTGACTATAAAACTGTTCCTCAAAAATTATACGACCTCGATCTCATGAATAACATTTCTCTAAAGAGTTTTCCTTGTTCTACTTATGTGGAATTTTTAAGTACTTGAACCGTTTTTTTTATGGACTAGACCGTTGGGAGGCTACAAGGGCGCGGCTTATTTCGGATACCAGGGAAAAGAGAATCTTTTTAATTCTCGTCATGACAATGCGCAAGTCGTTTTCAACGTGCACTTGTGTGCGCCGAATAGATAGTGGATTGCACCACTTTTCGGGTCTTCGATCGTTTGTCGCAAGTTAGCGTATTCAACTCGTGTTCACCTTCGAATTACTCTGGGATTTTCCTCTTGAAAATACCTGTTTCTCCTCTCCACCCTCACCCATATTTAGCATATGACTTTTCATTACGTAAGAAAACTTGCGGTTGCGGTTCCGGTTCTCGATTATCCACAACGCCCAACGGTAGATTCACGCCTTGTTTTTCAACAACGGAAAAAAATTCGAAAAGTCTCAGCTCCTCAGTGTGAAAATATTATTTACTATTCCTCCTTTCTGCTATTTTCGGCCCTCAAACGGGTTCTCTGGGATTTTTTTATTTTTATTTCTCACATCTCTCGCACACTCTGTCATCTTTATTTTCTATCAGCTCATGCCAACACTCACATCCCACCTCCCCATCTACTATCAAAAAATTCAATGACAACTAAACCTAAACTAAAATAATTAAATCCACCCGTCAAAAATCGGGGAATCATTTCAGAGTTTCGCAGGAATTAAAATAATTTTCTTTTAGTGCAGAAATTATTTTAAAAAATCATTGTCTATTTATCTGGTAGTGCACTGAGACCCATAAATTTTCTCTATAAATTTTCTCTATAAATTTTCTCTATAAATTTTCTCTATAAATCTTCTCTATAAATTTTCTCTAAATTTTCTAACGATAAGATCAACTTATTCCAATGTAAATTCTCTTGTAATATTTATTAGTGCCAAGTAAATTGATTCCTCAGAAGAATTTAAGCTGCTGTGAATCGGACGTCATGTGCTGATGGGATTTATAAAAGGCGTTTCGTGCATATATATTTTCAGAGCAACACGCGTGACACGTTAGCTATTTCAAGGTAACGGCGTGGTTGGCGCCGACGTGGGGTTCACGCCCCCGTGCGTTATTGCGAGCGCATAAGTCCCGGGAATGTGCAATGCATCTAGCTCTCAACATCTATGCAAACTGGTGAACAAAAAAAAAACGTCGAAGAAAAACAATGGGCGAGTTAAAATTGAAGAAGGGAGTGCAGATGCACAAATGCACAATTGCACAGACGCACAGATGCCCAGATGCTGAGATAGATTGACAGCTAGATGGATAAAGATAGATAATAAACTTTATTGTTCTAATTTTGAACAGAGTGATCCGAGTATAATCCTTGTGTGAACAATAGAGAGATGAAATAAAAATGAAATAGAGATGTGAGAGCAATTGGTGAAAAGTGAAATGATAATTGATAAATGAGGAAAGGTGGAGGCTCCAGGGAAGGGTGGAGGGTGAGGAAGATGTGGATAATGATGGAAAGAGATGGAAAGAGATGGAAAGAGATGGAAAGAGATGATGGGGATAAAAGAGGGAGAGGGTACAAGTGAATGGTGCTAAATGCAACGACTATTGGGCTCTCCATGTGTCTTCCATTTGCGAAACTATTCCCTCCGATTATCGTGTCACGCTCAACCAAACTTCATGCTCACTTCACCTCTTTCATCCATCTTCCGCCTGCAAGTAAAATCTATACTGAAGATTCAAGGAATAATGGGGTAAAATTGATTTGGAATTCCCTTTTCCTGAGGAATGAGTCAAGCGTTAACACATGGAATACCCAGGCATTATCCCCGCGGACTTTCTTGAACAACTCGCATTCCGTTCTGGTCAGCAACCTGGGCTCACCTCCTTTGGGTTGAGACTCCCCACCTTCCCCTTTCCTCTGGCCCTCGCAAACCTTCTATATGCCACACGCCAATATAAACGCATTCCCTCCAACTCCCTCCGACTCGCCGTCAAAGTGACAGCAGAGGGAAATTGAAAGTAATGTACACTCAACATCAGCCACTTTCATCCATGTCCTCGCGGCTTCTCACTAAATTTCAATCTCTTTCTCCATGAGAAAATCGTTTCACCATTTTTCCATGATTTTTCGTTTTAGAATAATGTACTCTAGATTTTCTCGGAATATTTATTGAGTATTTTCAGAATGACAAGAGGGGTTTATAAAATATGTAGATAGGATAAAAAGTGGCAGTGAAGCATGTAATTAACAACTGTTATCCTCCCATTGGGATTATTTCACGCCTCTGTGGTACTTGAATTTCCATTGTTGTTGATTGTTACAGAGACATCTGGATAAGGGTAGTGATCTGGCCGAGGCAGCTGGTACGAGTGGTCTCGATGAACTAGCGAGATCGTTGCGGGAACATCTGAGGGATTTTGGATCGCGACTTGATGAGCGTCGTGAGACTTTGGAGGATACATCGCGATGCTGCCTCCTGCAGGATCGTGCCCAGGAGTGGGCGCACGAGGCAAGAAATTCGGTGGAACGTGCCAATCAGAAGTTCTACGCACAGCCACCAGCACCACTGCCAGCCGAACACTTTGCGGAGATGGTGAGCCTCGCGGAGAAGCTAGGTAATGATACCCTGGTGGAGCAGTGTCGAAATGTAATCAGCAAGTGCCAGGAAATTGGGGAATTGATGAGGTTACACTCAACACCAGACAGTCCAAGTGGTCGTAGAAGGTCTTTTGCCACTTCAGAATCAGCTGCTGAGTCCAACTCGTGGGATGATACTGACAGCAATGCTGGGTCTTGTCCCACTGAGAGTCCTGTCGGTGTCAGTGGTGGTTCTAGACCCACTTTGGACAATATCGCTGAGCTTGGCGAGAGTGGGGATCAGCAACTCCTGGAGACACCACCTCGCAGTCCCCCAAGGAGTCCAGCTGCTAGTAGACGTCTGGGAAAACCCCCGGTGAATTCACATCTTCAAAGATCACCCAGCATTGCGCCGGCCGGAATGAAAGCCAAGAAGTAATTCCATTTTCAATAATCAATCACGGAGATAAATTTCTTCTCGTTGGAAACTCAATGAGCTTCTGCCAGAAACTCACGAGCGAAGCGATTGCTGTTGTTTCATCATGACGATTTAATTATTTTCGAGGAATTTCTCTCCGGGCTGTTATTTAGATTATGGTCGGCAAATACCGGTGCTTCACATTTTTTATCTTTCATTTTTCAGAACTATTTTACTAATAATGAGGGAAATGATACAGACTGAGAGAGATTACGTCAAGTCCCTGGAGTACATCATAGAGGTGGGAATATATATTTTTCTTTTATCGAAGTGGCGAGATAGTTGCACTGATGGAACGTGAGAAATAATAAATTTAATATTTTCCCAGAACTATATTCCAGAACTGGTTAGGGAGGATATACCGCAGGCAATGAGAGGCCAGAGAAATGTTATATTCGGCAATGTTGAGAAAATATATGAATTTCACAGTCAGCATTTTCTCCGAGAGCTCGAGCAGTGTGAGCACAGTCCAATGATGGTTGGACAGTGTTTTCTACGGCATGAGAATAAATTTTATCTCTACGCCCTTTACAATAAGAATAAACCAAATTCCGACTCACTTATGGCCGAGTACGGGACAAATTTTTTCAAGGCTAAGCAGCTTGAGCTTGGCGACAAGATGGATCTTGCCAGTTATCTTCTGAAACCTGTGCAGCGGATGGGAAAATATGCCCTGCTTCTTCAGCAATTAGTCAAAGCAGGCACTGACCTCTCTGAACAAATGGCAGGCAAGGGTGACAATGGATCGGCCGAGGAAAGTAATGGTGTCAGACCGATTGTCGAAGGGGAAGCCGAGCTCAGAGCTGCTGAACAGATGGTGCGCTTTCAACTGAGACATGGAAATGATTTGCTCGCCATGGACTCACTCCGTGATTGTGATGTGAGTACCGGTGCACTCAGCCGTTTTTTTTTCTCTCCTCTCTCGACAGAACGTTAATTATTCAGTCCCCCAAAGGACGATCTATTGACGCAAGAACGCCACATTTTTTCAACCACTCTTGATTAGGGAAATATTTTATTGTGCACAATTTCAGTGTTGAATATCTCTCGATGAACATTTGATGTCAGTTAAAAAAAGTTCAGTCTGAATGCCTTATTTAATTTCATTTAACAAATTTAATGGCAGTGTCCTGAAAATAACTGTTTAATCGTTCATGAAATTCCAATGTTGATACAGCCGTGCAATGAATGAGATAGTTATAGTTTAACGAGCGAGATCGTTGTTATTTCTTCTCATCAAGGCAATTTTTCTACCTCAGGTGAATGTGAAGGAGCAGGGGCGACTTCTTCGCCAAAACGAGTTCCTGGTATGGCAGGGGAAAGGTAAAAAATGCCTGAGGCAAGTGTTCCTCTTTGAAGATTTGATACTATTCAGCAAGGCGCGACGATTTCCTGACAGGAAGGTAAGTTCGTCCTAGTTCTGAAATCATTTCTCCCATTTCAATCGATTTCCACTCGTTTTTCAGAATCTCGATATTTATATCTACAAGCACAGCATCAAGACCACTGACATAGGATTGACAGCTGTTATGGCAGATTCACCAACTAAATTTGAAATATGGTTTAGAAAACGAAAACCTGGGGATACGTACACTCTTCAGTGTGCCAGTGAGGATATCAAAAAGGCATGGACTGAGGAATTGAGCAATCTGTTGTGGAAGCAGGCGCTTCGTAACAGAGGTATAATCGAACACCCATTGAATTTCTTATTTCTCATTTTTATCTCTAATTGGCGTTTTAATTTGCAGAAGTGCGCCTTGCCGAGATGTCGAGCATGGGAATTGGGAATAAACCGTGTCTCGATATTAGACCGAGCGCTGACCAAATCAGCGATCGCTCCATTAGTGTTGCACAATTATCGAAAAGTAAATATTGACTTTTGTCACTTTAATACAGTAGATAAGGTGTAAAACTAGATGAATTCACTCGGCTTTTCTTTTACTTTTTCATGGAGATCTGCGCCTGGGAGACGGTTTTAATCTTTTTATTTCTTCAGAGTTAAATTATTGTTCAAATTACTCACGTTTTGCATTTCTATTTTTAAAATACGAATGCCCCGTGAGAAAATACTCGATACTACATTTCTTTGATTTTTCTCTCATAAAGCTCCAAGATTTAGAAACTCAATAGCAGTGTCGGTATCAGAGGACTCTGGCCGCTGTAGTAGACGTCCTCATAGTGTAATATCAGTGAGTTCTTCATCAAGCAGTGGAGGAAGTAGTGCAGGTCCTCCAACAGCTCTGCATCTAGGTTTGGATTGCAGCCCAAGGCTTCACCACCGCAGTACCACTTTGAATAGCCAGTGTAGTGTTGGTCCGTAGCAATTTGACAGTCTCTCCCATTTAAAAATCTTCAAAACAATTAATCTCTCTTTTTCAAAGTAGAAAGCGGAATAATCGCTGACATTTCGATAACATCGGACGACGGGGTAGACAGTGGTGATAGAAATCATTGGAAATCGACACTGGAGAGTCCAACATCTTCCCATCCACCCACCACCTCAACACCACTACAATCACCAACGAGTTCTCACGCACCTGTTGTTCCATCCACCTCATCTTCCACAGACGTTAATCTAACTCCTTATGATCAGGAAATGTCCATAAACTTGTAAACTCAAATGTACTCATGAAAAATCAACGGAAAAATTGAAAATATTTCTGTAAACGTAGGAAAACTCATTAAGTAGCTCTGACACTGGCCTGTAAGCGCAAAAGCCAAATACTTCTATTATCCGTTTTATTTTTATTCGAAGTTTATATGATTTATCTGTTTTTTATTACTTTAGGCACTCGTGTCGATGTTTTGGAGTGGCTTGACATTTTTTATTGGATTAAAATGATGTACAATGATTAAGCCAATCCCAAGACAAAAACACATGATGACTTACTTGAATCATTTAAATCGGGTAAATTACTTGAGTTCTATCAATTATCCAAGTGAGTCAGGCAGAGTTGTGGCCTTCAATTGTCAGGGTCATCTGCCAGGGTATTGCCAGTGATACCTCATGGACAGTGGCCTGCAGAGTTCAATTATTTTGTACATTTTTGTTTATACCTTATGATTTTTATTGTTCATTGCAAAAAATGCTTCTAGCACTTGTGTTAGATGATTCCATGATTCTAATCAAGCACAATGAAAAAATTATCAGGTACAATCGGCCGTTCTCCCTCGTCCTAAAGCTATTCAGTTTATGAAAATGAATAGTTATTTTTCTTGGAAAAAATCAACCCTTTGTTGAATTCACTTTTCAATTCTTCAGATGATTTATAGGAGTTGGGGACTTCTGCCATAACAATTGTACCTTTCTTTTTTACATATTTGTAATCACTCAAGTCATACCCCTTTCCCCATCCCCTCAATCTTCAGATATTTATTAATATATATTTTTTTGTAAGAACTCCGTTATTATTATATCGATAATTGTGCGACGGCAAGTAGAAGATGACAAGTGCTGATTGGAGCTGTTTCACTTATCCAGCACTCGTCGCCTTTTATTTTTCTATCAAACGAGATAAACAAATGGTACTTAACAATTTAATAACAATCAATTAAATCTGTATATATTACAATTAAAATGACGATTTATTTCAGTATTGTACTTGCATCTAACACCGATGTATTTTATTATATCAAATATACTGTATTGGGTGCCTTTTTGTAGCGAATAATTTTATTTTATTTTCAAAAAAATCACTGACCTTGAGGAGCGACATAGCCGACGATTAAAAAACACGCGGTCTGTTTAAACTCCCCGTCGTCATCATCAAGTGGAGTCGCAGAAAGAACACACCAAAAAGGATTGACTAAAGTAAAATCTCAGTGCTGGGGGTTTGAATGACACCAGCGGCATCGTAGTACTGCACCCCAAGAGAGGGAGGGTGCAACACGCAATGCTGGGGTGTCCATCAAGTCGACGGGGTGAATTTTATTTTCTGCGGTCTGAATGCTTTTTGTTTTTCATTTGTTTAACCGAAATTTAGCCGACTGTAGAACGAGTGGAAGGGGGAAACCACATTTTGTGGAATTTCAAATGGAAAAAATTTTCAATGTATTGAAGATATACTACTAATTAAATTATGTTTTCATAATGAGCGAATTGCCTAATCGGCAACGCGCTTGACTGGCACGCGGACCCTTGGGTTCGATACCAGCATCAATCTTTTTTTTTTTTTCAAAATAATTCCAATTTTTATTTTTTGTAAATGGCTAATCAATGGAAATGTCGTTTAAAAACTGAATATTTGAAAATCGGAAAGATATCCAGTGAAATTGAAAAATTAGCAATTTTTTAAAATGATATTTTTGCAAAATATATACTCCTAATGATATTAAAATATTGTAATAGCGCGTTATCCTAGTGGTAACGTGCTCGGCTAGCACGCCAACGGCCCGGGTTCGATCCCGCCGTCATTCATTTTTTTTTTTAATAATTCCAATTTTTTCTTTTATAAATGGCAAATCCATTGAAATATTGTTTAAAACTTGAAGAGCTCTTCGATTGTTATGTTCCCCTGATACTTTTTCAAAAATTTCGAATTTTTCACTTTCAGTGATAATTTCAGTGAATAACTCCTTGATTGTCATGTTACCCTGATACTTTGTCAATAAATTCGAATTTTTCACTTTCAGTGAAAATTTCAGTGAATAGCTCCTCGATTGTCATGTTCTCCTGATACTTTTACGAAAATTTCGAATTTTTCACTTTCAGTGAAAATTTCAGTGAAGAGCTCCTCGATTGTCATGTTCTCCTGATACTTTTACAAAAATTTCGAATTTTTCACTTTCAGTGAAAATTTCGGTGAATAGCTCCTCGATGTTCATGTTACCCTGATACTTTTTCAGAAATTTCGAATTTTTCACCTTCAGTAAAAATTTCGGTGAATAGCTCCTCGATGTTCATGTTACCCTGATACTTATTCAGAAATTTCGAATTTTTCACCTTCAGTGAAAATATCGGTGAATAGCTCCTCGATGTTCATGTTACCCTGATACTTTTTCAAAAATTTGGAATTTTTCACCTTCAGTGAAAATATCGGTGAATAGCTCCTCGACGTTCATGTTCCCCTGATACTTTTTCAAAAATTTAAAATTTTTCAATTTCTATACTTATACTATTGTAGAGAGATATTTCGATTGATTATTATTAAAAAAAAAAATGAAGGATGCCGGGATCGAACCCGGGTCATCGGCGTGCCAGTCAAGCGCGTTACCGCTGAGACAACATAATTATTCTAAAAGAATGTTTTCATTAGGAGTATATATATTGAAAAAGTTTCGTTTTCAAAAATGTCAAATTTTTCAATTTCACGGGATATCTCCTGGATTTTCAAATATTCAGTATTTAAACGATATTTCCGTTGATTAGCCATTAAAAAAAAAAAAAAAATTGGAATTATTTAAAAAAAAAAAACGAATGATGCTGGTATCGAACCCAAGGTGTCCGCGTGCCAGTCGAGCGCGTTGCCGATTAGGCAACTCGCTCATTATGAAAATTTAATTTCATTAGTGGTATATCTTCAATATATTAAATAATCTTTTTCATTTGAAATTCCACGAGATGTGGCTTCCCCCTTCCGCTCGTTCTACAGTCGGCTAAATTTCAGTTAAACAATCAAAAAACAAAAAGTATTCATACCGCAGAAAATAAAATTCACCCCGTCGACTCGATGGACACCCGAGCATTGCAATAAAAACTTGGTTAATAAAAAAAAACACCCCACCATTGCGTGTGGCGCCCTCCCTCTTTTGGGGTGCAGTACTACGATGCCTCTGGGGTCACTCAAACCCCCAGAACTGAGCCTCTACTTTACTCAATCCTCTCTGGAGCACACCTTTCAGACATTGCGTCAACTGCATAATCATTATAATTACCCGCCTACGAATAATACGGGATATCCAGCTTCACCAAATTTGCCTCGAATGATCAAATTATTTCACAATAAATATCGTTGCCAATGGTGTACAAGGAGTGCCTTTGAGGGATCTATTTTTTCGTGGGATAAGTTTAGTGACAGATGGATTTTTTGGAGTTTAACTAATATGGTTATATTTAGTGCATGACGTTTGGTTTGTCTGGGTCCACCCCCGCTGCAGCAGCATTAATATCTTACTGAAGTTTTTGAGAAGAAGTCTGCGGAATTTTTTGGTGAAAATATGGAGGATATATTCCAGTGGTGTCGTGAGGGGAATGCTATGCAGGTTCGGGTTTGGCTGGATGACACTGAACATGACATGAATCAAGGGTATGGGAATTTACCTTATTTGGTAAAATCTTGTTTTCCTCCATGAGTTATGATCTCAGCCTTCGCCTTTCAATTATTCCGATTAAATCGATGATTATTTTAAAAATAAATTCAATTTGAAATTAATTTATTCAGGGATGATCATGGGTTCAGTCCTCTTCATTGGTGTGCCAAAGAGGGCCATTCGAAATTGGCTGAACTCCTTGTCAGCAGAGGCGCGAGGATAAATGCAACAAATCGAGGTGATGACACTCCTCTTCATCTAGCCTCTGCCCATGGTAACAGGGAAATAGTGCAATTGGTGAGTCAATGGATTTATTTCTGCATTCAGTGTTTGATAATTTTCTTTGGGACAGCTTCTTCGTAACCGAGCAGATGTCAATGTCACCAATGAACATGGCAATACGGCTCTGCACTACGCCTGCTTCTGGGGGGATCAAGTCGTTGCTGAAGATCTCGTAGCAGCTGGTGCACTCGTATCAATCGCCAATAAAGACGGGGACACACCCCTCGATAAGGCCAGAGGGCCTCTAGCTAAACGTCTTCATGGTAACCACAATCGGCGAATCAATTCAGTGGGGGAATGGAGAAACGAGGAAATTTAATGAGTCAGTCTTAATCAGTGTTTGGGATACACAAGATTTCAGTTATTCTCCTTTTTTATCGAAATTCATCACAATTTTTTTGCGTAAAAAAAGAATTTTCTTTCAAGTCCCATTTGGGCTTATGTTGACTGATATAAACAATTTTTTAATGTGAGAAATTTTACCAGACACGGATTTTTGGTGATAAACTTTTAGAGGATATTAAGAACTCTGCGCTTTTTTTTTAACTTCTACCGAATGGCTTGACAGGAAAGGGGGGATTTTTATGGAGAACTTTTCAACTTCAATTCTCCCAAGAAAAAGATTCTTACAAGCATTCTCCCCCTTTTCAATTAAGAAAATACTCCGACTGGCAAACTGCCCACGCGGTAAATTCAGCAAAACGCAAACATGGACTCGTTCATGTTTGATTCGTCAATTGAATTTTCACCGTAATGAATCCCTCTAGGATTTCCTCCAAATAGAACCTCATCAAGATTAAATTCATCATTCGCAAGCTGAATAAATTCCCTCGAATCCCCTCGTCATCTCATGCATTCATGGAAAAATCTTTCCCAAAGTGATTCATCCGTTTTTCCACTCCACCACTGACCGAATTTCCTGAATTCAGAAACCGTAATAAAAAAAATGACCACCTTTCAGATTTAGCGGTGGAGTTTGGCCAAGATCTGAAGAAGATTCAATTCAAAGACCAAAGTTGGCTGGGATTAAAGACCAGAAGCCGTGAGTTGGCAGGAAGAGCGCAGGATGAAACAAAAAGGAGGAAATCGCTGCGGATTTTTTTCACATATTCTTTCTTTTTGCAGGTGATGCAACTTTATCCAGGCATAAGGGAATAAATATGGCTGAACTGTCGCTGCACACTCACTTGGCAAGTAGCCCAAGCGGTGAAACCTGGCGTGGACGATGGCAGAACAACGATATCGTTGCTAAAATTCTCAATTTGCGGGAATGCACAGCTCGTATATCCCGCGATTTCAACGAAGAATTTCCAAAGCTGAGAATTTTTTCTCATCCCAACGTTCTGCCAGTCCTAGGCTGCGTTAATCAACCACCCCAGCTTGTTACGGTATGCCAGTACATGGCAAGAGGAAGTCTCCATCGTCTTCTGCACGGTGGTACTGGCGTTGTCGTTGATACTGCACGCGCACTGAGGCTGGCACTTGATGTTGCACGCGCCATGGCTTTCCTCCACGGTCTCGAGAGGCAGAATAGATGTAGGTTCCACTTGAACAGCAAGCACGTTATGGTGAGTACTTCCATCTCTAATTAAAATTTTTTTTCTGCTTTCCCAGGGATTATTTACCCACAGGCCTCTTTTCCCTCCTATTTTTATCCTCAGAAATCTCTGATGTGAGCCGCCCTTTCATTCAACTCCGTCCTTCAATTATTTCCAACTCCATTTGCATTGCGAGCCGCGGAGATATTTTAATTGACATTTCTCTGTACATTTTTGCTCCTGAATAGAAAGCTTTGTGATCGTTAAAATTCAAGTTTCCAGTTGTTTTTTTGTAGAGGTACACTGTGTGTCATGATTTTCAACGATCAATTAATTGTCCATTAATTCCTCAAAGCTTTCCACAGAAATTCAATAATTTCTCTTAAGGTTGCAATGGAAATTTGAAGGACTGAGTCAATTACGTTCGCAATTTTTTGTGTGTAGATTGATGAAGACCTCACAGCTCGCGTTAATATGGCAGACTCGAAATTTTCATTCCAAGAAGTGGGACGAATTTACGAACCTGCCTGGATGTCCCCAGAGGCTCTGAGCAAACGTCCCTCTGACATAAATTTGGAGGCAAGCGATATGTGGAGCTTTGCCGTTCTATTGTGGGAACTGGCAACACGCGAGGTCCCATTTGCCGACCTCTCGCCCATGGAGTGTGGAATGAAGGTGATCAATTATTTCTCCCAATTGCTCTTGTTTCATCCCATTCTCAATGAATTTGTCGTAATGAACGTTTACTTTGGTAATGGCAGATTGCCCTGGAGGATCTACGTGTGGAAATACCTCGTGGAATTTCACCTCATCTCGCCAAACTCATTCGCATTTGCATGAACGAGGACCCAGGGAAACGTCCCTCCTTCGCCATGGTCGTACCAATTTTGGATAAAATGAAACGCTGATTATAACCCACTCTATCAAACGCACAATCTCCATGGTCTTCATTAAATCTAACTCGCTAACTAATCTAGATTAAGAAATTACTCGAATCAAGTTGTGGAATAATGTAGGACTGATTTACCACTCTCACTGGTGCTTCTCCCAATTTTTAGTATTTCAGATGAAGAAATAACTCGTGTTATATTTTTTATACAATTTTTCTCGTTAAAACTCGACGGAATACAATGGTCAGCTATTATTGTGCCTTAATATTCTTCACTTTATCGTAATTAGAGCAGTGGGATTATTCAATTGATAACGTCGACAGAGATAAAAAAATTAAAAATCGTGCCTTTATAATTGCCATTTGACAATAATATTTATTTTAAACTCACGGGAAGTGTTATATCGTGTTCTCATCGTTGTTTTATTTAGTAATTGATTTATTTTTTTTAGTATTGGATAGTTAAATGGAAAAATAATTTAACTTGTTTAGTCAATTCTTATGACAAAATTTCGCCTTTGGGATATTCTCTAAATATTCAATCTACAATATTGTTTAAATAATTTTCGAACTCCGATTTTGCGGTAACTCTGGCATGAGAATATATTTAATCCAAAGAATTGATCATTTTACAAAAAAACGTACTTATAATGCAAATGGCACCAAATTAACGATAAAAAATCATAAAATTATGAAATCATGAATCTCATCATGAAATTGTAACTACGACAATTACTGCCAAATCACTGTCCTTATATAAATGTTATCAAACAAAAGGTCGCCTAAAAATAAATTTTCAAAAGCGTCTTATCCCTCGTCTTTCATACTTCATATAGAAACATCCCTTCCCCCATACCCTAGGGGCCGAGCTCATTGTAGTAAACTCCGGTTTCTCGGAAAGCGAAGGACCTAACGGTTTCGTCCATAAAGATTTATGAGACCCTCAAAATCCGCAAGTAAAGTCCAGCACAACATTTCCCAGGGAAATGCCATCTTCGAGCCTCCGGTGAAACCGAAAACTGGCCCACCCTGACAATTTTATTTCATGAAAATAAAATTTGACACCGGTAGACTCGAGTAAATTCACCCACGGAGAAACGATCAAATTTATCCCTGCAGCGAGTATCGCATATCATGAAAGTGTTTCACCATCGAGTTTTACCCCTTGTCGGAGGCCTGCAGGTAAGAAATCGACGACAGGAGGAGAACTTTTGTTCCTCCACGCAGAAACCCAACAAGTACACCATCGGAGAATGAATATTTCTAGTGTTTCCCGTGGTGATGACACCAGCGGTGGCCAAACTCTGGCTCAGAGCATAAATTCCACAGCTGATAGAAATGAGCCCTCATGACTGCCTCATGCTGCAACAGACACTGAATTCCCCACACCCCCACACAATTCCCCTTGAGCCCCCCATAGCCTCAATTAATCAACTATCTAAACGATAACCACTCAATTCCCCACGTCCTTCAACCCTTCCTCACACCTCAAATCCCCTCAACCCATAATTTTTTTATATCCACCTGAAAATTTCGCTTAATGTAGGATTTACTGGATTTACTGGATTCCAAGTTCAGAAAGCCAGAAGTAATTAGCAGGGCCCGTGTTAAAACCCTGCAGTTGGATTTATCGAGCCCCCAATGACGCAAGCGCATACCAAAATCCACCCTGTACGCAATCCTAAGACAACAAGAGTCCATGCATTTTCGATTTCATCAGACTTCACCGGCATTGATTTATCGATCAGCAATTAGTTAAATACCTGATGTTAACACATATAAAATTAGCATGAATGTCACGATGGCATTGAGTTGAGACAATGCGTCTGGATGATTGTCCTCAGGGGGTCTTTACTCATTTCTATCTCTCTCTTACTTCTGTCACGTGCATGTTTCGATGGACGCAGCTGCTTTTTCACTGTGATTTCTTTGAATGCATACAGATATACAACAAAAACAACGGTGGGAACTCTTGTGCGTGTTTGGGATATTGTGGAGAAAGGGATGAAGTGGGGCGGTATGGGTGGGAAAGGGATGGAACGGGAGGGGAAGGGTGGGGAAGGGAGGGGAAGGGAGGGGAAGGGAAGGAAAGGAAGGGAAAGGGTGACAAAGGGAAAGAAAGGGAGAACATGGGAGAGAAAGAGAAAACATTGCAGAAAAATGGTGAACAAGGGAGAGAACGGGAGAGAAAGGGAATGCAGACTTGTGGAGTTTTGGATTTGGAGATGGTAAAGTAGGAGTTGGAGGGGAAGTTTCCCCTCTACTGTACATAATGCTGTATGTACATAGGCTGTGCAGCATTGCCTGCCATCCAGTGTTAGACTGCCAGTGGCAATATGGCTGTAGTCTTGCGCGCAGTTTGGGAATGGACGCACACTCGATAGTTACTCACTTCCATTCACCAATTTTTGTTGATTATCATTTATTACTTGTCAAACGGATACCCATACCCGTCTTATGGGTGAGGGATTGACATCTGTATCTCGTAAACATCAGTTTAATATTGCGAGATAACATGAGTGAAATTGTCGAGCTGGCGCACAGTGTGGAAAATTCAACTGCGTCGAAAGGCAAGTTTTGTACAATTATTTTTCTTTTTATTTTTCTCTACTTGCTGACTCGGCCATGTTCGGAAAATATTCGCATTGTTTACAATTTTGTAACCTAGAAAGTTTCATGCCGCTTTTTGAGGAGGTGAATGTCATTTTTTTTTCGGGGGTGGCGTTTTTTTTTGGAAAATTTGGGAATGTCGCGTGTTTGTGGTGGGATTTTTTTTTCTTCTTTCTTTTTGGGGTGTTGTGGCTGTCGAGGGTGTTTTGTCATGACGAGGACGCCTTACCCCACAAAAATAATCAATATATTCTGTGATGGGGTTTTCAGGGTCGATAGTTTTTGGATGGGAAATATTTAGGGGTGTTTTTTCTTTCGACTTTACTGGGATTTTCGAACGGCCTTCTGATGGGCACTCGGTGGGAAAATGTTGTGCATCGGTTTTCAGGGTTTTCCGGTTTTATCCGGTGACCGTTGGAAAAGCGAGCCGAGGGGCGAGGAAAATTGGGGAAAGCACCTGCCAGGCAGATGTCTTTGGACACTCCAAGATGTCATAAAGATCCTCATAAAGTGTACAAACTGGAGTCTATTGTTTATTTATGGAGAGAGTTTGTGGGCTCGGGATGATGTTTCTGCACTGGAAATTCAGTAGAATGTAACAAGAATAAATGTTTTATCAGGTATGGAGGGCCGACAGTGGATGGAAAAGTTCAAAGCGATGCTCCTGCTCAATCGATTTACTCCTGGCTCTTTGATCTCCTTAATGACATATTACGCAAGGTAATTGGAAACATTGAAGCTTTATTTTTATTGTTGATTGTTCAATATCATTCTGATACCAGTAATTGCCTGATCCTGTGTACTGGTTTTTGATTGCTCATTAAAAGTCTGGCATTTATGCAAGTTTAGAATTTCAAATGAAAATGGATGAGCTATTGTCGCGAGACATCCAGATCGATTAACCTTTAAATTACAATGGCAGTATCGAAATAGTCGGGTACAATGTAAATCACTATTTGCACGTACAACACGACGCAATTTTCCCTGGACATTAAAATGGACACGAAATACCCAATAGTGGGGCCAATGGAAAATCCAAGACTATTCCCAATACTCCGTTATTTGGATGTGGAAGAGTATTTGAGATATTTTTCATTGCAGAAATGTACAACCCAGTGTTAGTGAGTGTCAACCGAAGCCACTCAAGGTGGAAAAATTGAGAGAGTCAATCAGTGAAACTCTGCGCTTCTTTTTGTATTGTTATAGAGCTCAAAGAGAGGTGAGAGCATTCAAACTATTCTCTATTCAATTACTAATTACAATATCAAAGTTCACTGTACACCATCAAGCTGTATCTGAGGATCCATTAATGATGATTGGAATTTAAGACCTTTCAGGAGACAGAGCGAACGGATTATATGGACACGATGTCTGATTTATTGGCAATGTACATAGATATTGAGCTGAAAGCATCAAAAAGGAGTGATGAGGCGCAGTCCAATATTTCAGCTCGATTAACTTCGTACCTTTATATTTGCTTAGGTGAGTTATTCAACTCCATCAGTATTATCCGTTGCTTTTGTTATTATTTATCAGATATTCTTATTCTCTCTGCAGATAATTCACATCAACACCTCATGGATACTCTTCTGAAAGTTCAATTCCTCAGTTCTACGTATCATCAGATTTTAGATCCACTTATAGAGTAAGTTCACCGAACGGTAAATCGCTCCACTCCCGTGGTTTGAGAATACCCAGACATTTTTAGCGAATTTTATTTTTTTTATCTCTCCGAGGGAAACTACATTTTTATCAGTCCAGCGTGGGAAACTAACTTCTTTGATACAACGAAAAGTCAATCGCACTATTCTTCGGAGAGATAAATAAAAGAGTCGGTCTTTATCCTCAGTCCTCGTGGGATTTACGTTGAAATTGATAATTCACATTCTGGGGGACTCTAAAAATCGATGGTAATGCGCAAACCCATTGAATTGAATTCCCGGAGAAAAATTCGCCACATCCGGTCACAAAGAGGAAATAGTCAAAAGAAACTATCCCGTAGAAACGTATTAGCGCATGCGTCTGGTGCATTTTCCCTCTCAATTTCGAAATAATAAATTTCTAGATAACTAGTCATTTGACATTTTTTTTTATAAAAAAAAAAATGAAACGAATAATTCTGCATTAAAAAGACAAGTTGTTCAAATACTTATGATATATTATTTTAATAGATATTTTTTATAATATATTGTAATGATTTTGTATTGTAGGAAAATCCTGCAGATGGTACCGGAGCATCCGATTAATGGTGTCATGTACGTTCGATATTTTCTCGTCTATCGTATCTGGAAGAGAATAAATAAAGGCTCGCCAATGAAGGACGACATAGCTGTGAAGGCGAAAACCTCCCTGCGTTCGTCGCCTCCTGCATTACCAGAGTATCTTGTTGATAGTGTACTACCGAAAGTGCCAAATGATGAGAAAATCACCACTGAAGTTTTATTAATACAGAAATTTGATCTAGAGAAGTCAGCTGAGAATTTTCTCAAATTCGTGAAAGATTCGAGAGAACTACCTCCTGTTCAAAGCCCTCAATCTACCCAGGTATGAATTCACCATATAATTGACACCTTTAGGAACATTTATTGCACTGATAGGCTTACACACATCCACACTAATCAATTATACACACTAATTAGAATAGCAAATTCCACCGCAATTTCAAATTCTAGAATGAAAAGCAACCTGAAGATAAATCGGCTATTAATTCAAAAAAAAAATTATGTTTATCGCGTAGATTACCGGGAAAATTGAGTGAAGTAGTTTTAATTGATTTAACAAATGATGAGACAAGTGGTAGGGTATTGAAGCAGAAGAAAAAATCTGGCAGACGTCTGTCGTGGCTGCAAGAGGTGGCAAAGCGAAAAATGACGAGCAGTAGCGCCAAGGAAGATAGCACCACTGAAGATTCCCAAAAATTGGACTTATCATTGTTTCTCACGACAGATGGAGATCAATCAATAATCATTGAGGACCAGCGAGAGAGAGAGTCAAGTGGAACTGATATCGGCAGTCAGTCTTTGACGGAGAGGACTCAAACCGTTGAAATCGATTCTTGTGATCCAACGAGGGTCCCACAGATCGATGATATTGTAATTCCTTCATTGCAGGACTCTCCAGCAGCAGCTAACGAGGTGGAAAGAGTTACCATGGAGAGTGAAACTATTGAGAGTGGAATTAAAGTACAAATAGAAGTTCAGAGTGAGCTTGAAGAAACGACTGAAATTAACGAATTAAAGTGTGAAGATAATATAACAGAGATATTAAAGAGTGAAATTATTGATGATGCTAATTCAACAAGTACAAATTTAGTTACTGAGTACCAGAGGGACACTGTACTTCATATTAATCAGAGATTGGATGAGAGCCGAAAGAATGTACTTGAGCGTTTGCCGGAGAAAATGATCGATACCGAGTACCAAGAGCAGCATATCGACGGTCTCTCATTACTCGCTAGTGTATCACAAAGAATATCTCACTTGAGTACAGCTACAACGAGCCATCCAATCAATCCAAATCGTGAGATTATCAAAGTTAAGGATTACAAAAGTCTGACTGACTTTGGAAGTACTAACGATATCCTTGAAAGCAATAACATCGACGAAGTAGCATTTCAGGTTGAGGTGTCTTCGTCGGAGGACATCTCAGATAACTGCACAAGTGTAGTGTATCCTACCCAACGTCTCGATAAATTGCCCACTGACGAGGATAACGGCTGTCCAAGTACCTCAGTCGACAGTTCGATACAATCAGAGAGGGAAGAGACAAATGTCATTCTCAACGGTGAGACAGTATTTCTCTACCAGAAATCACCGAACAGCAATTTGTATATAATAAATAAAGCTATTGAGAATCACGAGGATGAGGAGACGACCAATTTGAGTGAGAAGATGTCTCCAATAGAGGGCATTGACGAGGTCAATTATCCCTACGAAATTTACGACAAAATGTACAGAATCTCTCAGCCACCAGTGCCCCAGATATTTGACGATCCCAGACGCGCACAAAAGGTCAAAGTAACTGCTTCAAACGACAGTAATCGAGCAGTTGATCTCCAGAAATCTGGAAAGAAAGCCAGCATTGAAGCTAAATCACCGAGAAGGCACAGAATGAGACAAGAATTCAATGGTTGTCCCTCTGATCTTGTCGACCCACATTCCATTCGTATTCCCACAGCACCCCTCTATCACGCCAACTATCCAACACCTGAATTATTTATCTCGTGCCCCCAAAATTGCAGCTCGGTTACCTGCGCCATTCCTGTCAATCATTCAGCATCACCCATTCATTCTCATCCAAACTCATCAAGATGTACATGTTTAAATTGTCGTTATGACATTGTCACACACTGCACCCAGTGTATTATTCCACCGGGTGACGCCCAGACCACCAGTGGAATCGATGGTGGCTATTACATTGGAATTCAGCCGACGTCTGTTCTGAAAGACTGTAGCCTAGAGGCTAATACCCAAAATGACGTCAAACCATTCGATGACAAGCCCCTGTACAGCATTGAGCTTGGTAATGGCATTGATAACAACCACGGGATATTGAAAAATGTCAACAGCAAGTTACCTTTGAAGAAGCGGTTCAGTATGATGTCTGCGAGTTTTGTGGAGACTCTCCAGACGGACAAATCAATTGGTAATTATTCCAACTTGTCTATTAAATCTATTGCCACTCGCGATAACAGTAGAGACGGTAAATTATCCCCTAGATTGCAGAAAGAAGAAGAGAATGTGATCAATGGCTATCACTTTGATGATCTTGAGCTAAAGCAATCCGAGATTGGCAGTGGTGTACCAATAAAAAGTCGAAAAAGTCCGGAGAGTGGAATATCGAGGCCTTCGAAGAATGTTATGGAGCCTAAAACTCCGACAAAAAATTCAAAAAGACAGACCAGACTGTCCAAGAGAAAAGTACCTAGAGTTAATTACAACTATCCTGATGATGAGATTGACAGAAATCCGTCCGGTGTGTCTAGGCGTAAGCGCAAGAGAACCCGATGATCATTCAAGTCGAGTCAAATTATTCATTCGACTCACAGTCAAATATCTCACCGTTCGACAGGCTGTGGTTAGTATCATTACGTGTACATACTTATTGAAGAAAACACCGATAGATTAGTTCGAATTAGGTAATAGTATATCTCCAGGTTGTTGAGGTGGGCTTTTATTTTTATTTTTTTTGCTGTGTGGAATTGGCGTTCTAGGCGATGATCTAGCCAACCATCAGTGCGAATAAAATCCCATCGCAATAACCTGGATATTTCCGTTTTGATTGTCATGTTTTCGGGTTTGGAGGTGTGCAGTATCGATTTCCAAATGAAAAATCGTGAGAAGCAGTACGGAAAAATTAATTATGTATGACCGATGCGGCATGGAAGATTCATCACTTGAAGATTTCAACAATTTGAAGATTATGATTATTTAACTGGTGGGAAGAAGAGGAAAAATTCATATTTTTTCTTTATCGCTGAAGAATTATCACTGGAGTAGAAAATAATGCGCATCGATTCAACACTGGTGAGTTATTAATGGATGATTGAATAATCAGACTGTCTGGCGAATTTATGAGGATTCCCCTCTGCGATTATCAGCTGGGGGACGTCTGTGAAGATTACGATTATTTAACTGTTCGAGAGGAGAAAACAAACACATGGTTTTTCTTTCTCGCTGATGAATTCTCCCTGGAATGGAGAATAATGTGCATCGATACAACTGGTGAGTTCGTGATGGATGATTGAGTAATCAGACTGTCTGATGAACTGATGAGGATTCCCCTGTGCTTTTAGGTCAGTTGAGAGCGGAAGCGTTATACGAGTCGTTTCAATATAAGATAGCGCCAATATCACAACACTGGTGAGTTACTGATGGATTATTGAGTAATCAGACTGTCTGATGAAGTAATGATAAATCCCATGTGCTTTTTAGGTCAGCTGAGAAAGCGGAGGCATACCGAGCCGTATCAATATAAGAAACAGCGCCAATATCAGAATTTCTGCCATATACCGAAAATTCACCGACCAACATACAACTGAAATAAAAGCTGATTGAGTATTTGCACCAGATACCGACGCATCCATGTACTCACCCGTTGTATTTACTGGTAAATATATAAATGAGAGTGGGTGTGGAGCCTCATAGGGACCTCTGGTGCGAATAGTCATATTTAATTAAAATGAAAAAGCCAAATAATTAATAAACCAAGTAGAACTTGACTATTTTTCGTGGAACGCTAAGTGGGGGATTCATAATCAAAACCGAATTCAAAGGACCCTAGTCAATGAATAACAGATGTGTACCCTGGTTTTACCATTTCGATTGTTAATTTATTTTTTATCTCAATGAATTTGCTTGATGTCTTCCCATGAGTCCAACGGGTGTCGATTATTCCCTCGATCCGTTTTTTAGTCTCATCGACTTTTATTTTTTACGTCAGATCTATTACTTTAGGTTTTTTTTTTTATTAGTAATTATGCAACGAAAGACTGAGAAAGAAAATATTGCCGCTTGTATGTTATTTAAGTAGAATCGTAGAGAAGCGGAGGCTGTCAAATTTAATGGGTGATTACTAGTTTTAGAGAATCTTCATGACTTCCTGGCAGCTGAACTTAATTTGATAACTGATGTCCAAAACTGTGATTAATCATGTTCAGTTTGATGATTTTTTGTATTTGTATACAGAAGCGAAGTGATAAAATGAGGATTTTTCTTATTTATTCTTATTTATCTAGAAAGAAAAATCGAATAACAATCAACCGATTTTTTTACTAATCCATGATTAATGCAAAAATTCAACTTATCTCTTCGCTACTGAATTGTCTGTGCCATTCTTCATAGTTACCCACATTTGCCAAATAAAATCATTGAAAATATACGATAATTACCCGCATTGTAAACAGCCTAACAGTCACTCGTTGTATTGCAGATAATTTTCACCTAGTTTAATGATAGTTTGTCATAGTTCTCGGTTTCTTCCAACCAATGTATCCATTACCTCCAATTCAATTGAATGTTAATACTTATTACGTTATTACAATTTATTATTTAATTAACAAATCTGATAGTCATAAGAACAAGAAGTATTAGAAAGAAACCTCAGAGTGTGTACGAGTGTCGTAGAGCAATTGTGAGAGATGAATGTTTTATCGGAGGTGTGTCAAGACCGTTGTTTCTTTCCTTTCGTGGAAAACAGAATAAATGACATATTTAAAGACAAAAAATTTAATCCGAGTAGTGCCTTTAATTATTCGAAATGAATTTCCTGCATCAATTTCTCAAGCTCGAGATTAAAACAAAGCGACTGGTGAATAAAAAAAAAATAATGGGACAGTGGGTGTGTGGGTGTGTGACGAGCACTTTGGAAAATTGTTTTGCACCCCTTGGTTGTGGAGAACACGACGTTGAACGTACGTAATTCCAACGAGTGTGCAAGTTGTTGAGGGTAAGAAAGGCCTTTTTTTTTCTTTTAAGGATAAATGTGAAGAAAGATGAAGTCCAGAGCGGAAGCGCTTGCGCGTTTTGTCGGGGGTGCGTCGGGAAAAGCTCTGGATTGGAGTAGAAAGGTGGGGGATTGCATAGTAGTAACTATTATGTGGGTCCAACCGAGGCTCAGTTTCGCAACGTATGTCAATGAGTTCGGGGGACAATTGGAAGTGAAAATAAACCAGGATGTAGTTGTTTAGCATCTGCTGTAGAATTTTGTCAACAGTGTCCGAGCGTCTCGGGGTAGTTGTGGTTTTTTTTTTAAATAATCATTACATAAATCATCAAAGTGGCACAATTATCGGAGATATTTGGCCCAGGATGACACAGAATTTCAATATTATCTGGCTTGTCATCTTGCTCAGCCCAAATTTGAGGATCTGCCATGCCGGGAAAGGTGAGTCGAGGTGAATGCACGGAGAATCGATCCCCCAAACCCTCGATTTTCCCCAGATTTTCTGTTAAGAAATCTAAATCCTTTGGGACAGATGTTTCTCTTGTTTTTTTTTTTTACATTTCATTCTGCAATTGACATTTGTTCAGTCCGCTTTGGCTTCGACGGCTGTTTATCGGGGGATGAATTATCCAGGGACATGTACCAGCAGCTGATCGAATTACCCCCAAAACTCCTCAACGTTCTCCGCGTTTTCCCAATTTCCCCAGTTTTTGGTTCACTTCTGACGCATTGAGATAAATAAACTGGAATAAATAATTTTTTGGCAAGTGATTCCACCAGAAAAATGATTTTCATCAAATAATAAGTACCACAGGAAAACATATGGAAAAAATATCTGCAAAACATTAATTTTTGTTGTTTTTTAGAATGGAATCTATTTTTTAATATCAAATTAGATTGTTAGATTGAATTCTGAATTTTCTTTTTCACTTTGTATTATAAATTTAATCGCCTCGATTCACACTGCCACGTGTCTTTTTTATATTCAAAAGCTTTTGCATTTATTAGCTTTCCGGAAAAGCGCGAGGAAAATAAAGCCGAAAAAAGTAGTGACTCTTGGAGTTGAGGCATCTTGCTGCGAGTTTACGTAGACATCGCCGTCGGCTCTATGTAGTCACGAGGTGGGAGGGTAACAAAATTGGATTCAAACTTTATCCCGTCCCCATTATCACTGGCTTCAGGTTTTTTTTTTCTCTTTACCATCGACCCTCTAATCCACACCGACAAAAGTAACAAATGCGATTAAGCAATATGCTTTCAGATGTGGACAAGGAACCTCCCCGTGAGTGCAAACTCGAGGGTCTTCATCCCCTCCTCATTATGACTTACAAAAATGTAACCATATCCGTAAGTAAAAAGGTAAAAGCACTGGGTAATATTCATTTCGTACGTTAATAAGGAGAAAATTCAATTTCACGGACGGTTTGCGCGGAGATAAATTCTTTAGAAAAATTTTCAAGTGCTCAAATTTTTATTTCTATTTTATTACAAGGGAGGGGAATGCCAGGGAATTTTTGGATTGATCCGAGCGAAATTCTCTTTTCTTCAATCAATTTTTAAATTTAATTTTGTTTGTAAAATTTCCCTCCCTTTCCGGTGTTAGTCTTACATTTTTATGAAATTCCTCATGGAATTTCTTTAGTCAATGAAAATTCAAGGAAATTCAAAATTGTTGAGCAGTAGAATTGAAAAAATAATAATTTCCCTGGCACTCCACTCAGAATTCAAATTTCAGATTGATTAATTGCAGTGCAATTAATACATTAATTTCCAGCGGATCGTGGATAACATTCGAAATGAAAATTTCTATAATTTTAATTAACCAGTACTCAGTCATTATCAGTCAAGTAAATACACTCCAGCCAATTTCCTGGAACCTTCCCTAAAACCCTCATTAAAATTTGATAAGCAGAATTAATTTTTGCGCGTAGACCGTAACTATCTGGAAGTTGGAAAAATTGCTGGAGTAGCTTAAGCTATTTACCAAAGAATTTAGCAAACTAAAATAATCATGCCCGTCGATCTTTCGTTAGACATAAGACACACTGACTGATGCCTCTTCATGCATATGTATCGTTTGAAGAGGGACCAATATCGATTTTGAAATAATGCAAATGGCTGGAATATATGTGTACCAAGGGGATGTAGGGGGATGAAGGGAGATGAAGAGGGATGAAGGGAATGAAGAAAATTGGAGATATTCTGGACAATATCCAGTGCTGGGGAGTACGACGAGAGGAGTAATGGAGGCAGAAACATGCTGATGGGTTACATGGGGATTTTACAGGCGGACAAGATCACAATTCCACATGGAGAACGAGTTACAGTGAGATGTCGAGAGCTGGGGCGATACAAACTCGTTGGTGATCCACTCCTGGTGTGCAGAAATGGGGGGTGGAATGGAAAATCTCCATCCTGCATCCCTACAACATCCATTTCAAATTACTCGGGTGAGCTAAATTTTATCAATATTTTGTCGTCGCGTGCCACACGCGGATTGTCACATTAGCGCCAAAAATTTCACCGCATTCTGTTATTTAAACCGAGTGCAGTGCACATCATCTGCAGTTGTCGTTTTGAGAGTGCATGAGAGGTACATGCAAACGATATTTAAAACACAGTCCAACTTCTCCGTCATAACTCATTATTTTTACGATTCAAGTAATCAAGAGTCATTTCCATATGGCTGCTCATTGGGATATCATCTGGAAAAAACAATTGACCCAAATTGCGATAAAAAATGGTAAAATTAAACAGTTCTGGGCATTTGTTTAATTCTGATGTAATGGACATGACGGACATGGTCACTGAATTTTTTTTTTCTCGGGAGGAATGGAATGAGGGGAACGTGGGGGTGAATGAGATTAAAACCAGTTGTATCTCGCATCTATAACTCTTGGCATTTTTATCATTCATGTAATGAAGATTAATAGGTATTCCATGGGATTTTCATACAAGAGGGTGTGAAAATTGTGGGGTGGAAAAAAATCCAAATAAAACGGGAGAGAGCTGGTGGGATGAGAGGGTAGAAGTAGCGGGTTTTCTCGCCCTCAGGGAGGGATTGCGGATCTCCGCGGATTTACTTTCTCACCACGTAGAATTTTCCCATCCCCTCCGTAAACCATTCATCTCCTTCATTCTACTGCATCCGGTTTACACATCGATACACGCACAATTTATTTTAATGAAGAAATCCCCTCTGTCCTATTGTCATTTCAATGAGCAGAACCGATTTTTTTTTTTCTTTAATACTCCCAGCCAGTGGCCAGAAACAACACTCTGGGGAAAAAAAAATGTAGGAACAATCGAGAAATGGAAAAGCTGTGACACATGGGATGAAAAAAAAGTGGTGGAGGGTGGGGGTGTGGGAGGCAAGTGAAAAGAATTGCGAAATAGCTTGTGGGAAGGTTGAAACAGCTGCTACCACTGGTGGTTGGCTATGAAATTGCGTGCGTGAGACGGAACCAAGAGCTTCACTTTGTGAGAAAAATGCATCCGTGGAGAAAGGGCCAAATGGGGTGAATTCAACCCTCGTGGAAATTCATAGACAGATTCCGTCGAATAATTCCGTCGAATTTCAAAAAATTGTGGATATTCCTCTTTCCTTTCTCAAAATAAAAAACCTACGGTTTTATTCAGACATTTATCACTTACATAAATAATTTACAAATACAACAATAAAAGAGATAATAATTTTGTAATAATCATTTCTTGCATTTTTTCCTTGTTATAGGAATAGAATATATATTTTTTTTTTATTTACGTGAATTTAATTCGCATCTCAAGAGAGATTGTTAATATTTGCAGAAATTTGAGATTAAATAACAAATTTTGAAGGGATAGAATTGAATCTGGGATTTAGTACTTGAGGTGGTGGACAGAAAATAAAATGGGGGATGTTTGAATTTATTCTCTCTAGATAATGTTCCACCGACGATTCTGTTCGGCCTACCCAGAGGATCAGCGGCTATCGAGCCCTCGGGTGCCCTCGCTGTCTTCCCAGGAAGTATTTTACATCTAGAGTGTTTATTTGCCCGACGCATGGGCAATCCAGAATGGACATGGAACTCAACATTTCGTCAATACCTCACAGGTATGTCATTCAGTTGCATGCAAATGATCGAGTAAAACCGTTGGAAAATAGGACTAAAAAATCGGTGAGTTAGTTTCTGGTTGGAACTATTTGCATTTGTAACTCCTCGTAATCGAGGAACCTCGGAATATTTGCAGTGAAAGAAACGGGAAATGATAGAATGAAAATGTAAATAAACCCCATGACTTGGCTCTGCAATTTAGCGAGTTTTCGATGCTATAATGTACACAGCTGAGTTCCAATTGTTGAGTTTCAATAGGTTTGCAGGTACGAGGACCCTCACCACTATTTCTCGACCCCTTCGCACTTTTCCTTCAATCCTCTTCTCCGTTATCCAGCAACTAGTGAAAAGAGGAAATAGAATCATGGAAAATCCACGTTATGTCTCTCCATAAAAAATTTACTCGCCAGTGGAACGTTCCTCTTTAAAAATATGGGTCAAACCTTTTTTCCAATCTATCCATCCATCATTTTGTTTCACGCATTTCACACATAATAACTGATTAACTAATTCATTACAGTTGTAGTTCACTAATTATTATATCCATAAATAGATGAAAACCTCAAATTAACATTAAAAATATCGCAATATCAATGATAATTGTTGAATTATTCATTACGTCTCATTACATATTCATTATCAATTCATAATGTAATGAGATAATTAAGATAAAATGGACAATGAGATGGAAAATGAAATGTTTGGTCGTGGAGATAAGGGGTGAGGTGGACGTTGAATTAATGAAAGATTGACGTGTCTAAACTCTGGACAATCCCAAAAGCGGGTTAATCCACCACGATGGAATTCCAGGGTGCATGCGCACGTAGACCATTCTATCATCAACATCATCATCCTCATTACGTTGACGATCATAAGCCGATGCTCCACGAATTTGACGTTTCGCCCTGAGGGCCGAATTAATGCTTTTTCCAATATTTGGCTTGTAGGCTGGGCCATCGCACCATCCGAGAAAGATTGGAAGTACAGGCTGTCGATATATTACGTTAAAAATCAGGACTCGGGGGTATATACCTGCTCCACACCCAAGGGCCTGAGTAATTCCATCAGAATCCACGTCGTAGGTGAGTCCACCATGTTGATATGATTGATAGCTGGAGGGGTTCCTCTGACGGAATCCTCATGCCTCGTTACGAGAAAATGACATTTTCCTCTGATCTTCTGGTAAAAATTGTGGGAATCTGTTTAGCTACCAGCATAAGTTCAGTAAATAATTAATAAATAATTGATATAAGTAGGTAATTATTGTGCTGAGGTAATTAGAAGGACTTGTGATTTTTCTGCGCTGATTGTGATGTAATAACTTCTTGGGGGAGAAATGAGGGGCTTGGTGGGATAATTCAGAGAATTGAATGATTTTCTCCTTCAGATACCCACTGTCCCACTCTGATACCAACACCAGCCCCACTGTCCAGCAAGATTCAGGGTGCTAGGATGGGCCAGAGGGCTGAGTTTGAGTGTCCAAATGGGTACAAACTGGTTGGCTCGAAAGTACTCAATTGCCAGTACAACGGTGAGTCGAATTGAATTCTTTCCTCCATCTTTTTAATTCCCATTCCACTCGCAATGCTCTTCTCCTGGAAGAGTCCGAGTATTTTTTTTTTTTCTTCTCACCCCAGTGGAAAATTTTTCGTGTCTGCCGGTAATTGCGAATCAGACTCGTTAGCCGCACGAATTACTGCACGAAACGAGTCGTGATAATTGAATGAAAGCCACGGGGGTGGTAAATAGAGAAGGGATGGGAGTGAGTGAACCTCTGGAAAATTGGTTTGCGCATTGCAGGAAGATGGTCTAGTGAGGTGCCACGCTGTGAGCTCATACTGTGTCCAGAGATTGTCCTGCCTAATGCAAAACTTCAGATGTTGGAGCACAATAACAGCGTCAGTGGTAATGCTGTGTTCACCTGTCTGTGGGGTAACTTGCTGCTCGGATCCCAGACTATATCCTGCGGTGAGGATGGCACGTGGAATGCTACTGTACCAGTATGCTCGCGTAAGACTAATCGCCTGTGGTTCACTCAAAAATATCATCTCTCTGCGCTTTGCTTTGACGGCTCAATTATTTTTGAATTTTATTTTATTCTCTGCAGAGATAAAGTGCCCTCTTCCCCCTGTACCCAAAAATGGAATTATTCTGGAAACGGAGAGAAGTCCGCCAGTGGCACAAAAACGATTTACCAAAGCCAATAAAGCCAGGAAGGTTGGATCATTGTTGAGATTTGCCTGTCTGCCTGGCCATCAATTAATCGGGGAGGGATCAATTATTTGTACCGAGAATGGCACTTGGTCTCATGAACCTCCACTATGTGAGTCGTTTTTTTAACATTCATGGACATTGTGCAATTTTTTATTTCATCTTCGCTGATTTTTAACCAAATGATTGAATCAGGTGAAGTCAGGTGTCCATACCCGGGCGATCCACCCCACGGAAAAATTGCTCCACTGAAATTCTGGTACAAACCCGGCGATACGATTCAAGTGACGTGTTCCCTGGGTTACGTAACACCACTGGAGCCGGAGAGAAAACCAACATGCAGAGAGAACGGAATCTGGAGTGGACCACCACCGCCCTGCACCTCCTACAGAGACGTTTGAATGCCCCACGTTCATCGCAACACCGAAGAGTTCAATCAAGATCAATTTAAATAACCAACGAATCAGTGATTAAAAAAAAAAAGCCAATTGGATTTTTTTTTTCACCGATCCTCATTCGATTTTTATCGAGTCAAATCGACTGCGCCGTTCCGGCAGAATTATTAGTAAAGAGAAACCATGTTTTCCACAAAAGAAGAAAATAAAAAAAAAAGTGCGCAACTCGAGGGCTCCACTCGTCCAGCCTTTCACCTTTCTATTTTTCTTTCAGCATCTTCTTTATCTTACCCTCGAGTGATCCTCATCGTCTATCCTCACTAACTCCGTGGCCTTGTATTTGCACAGAGATTAATTAAAGCTCCTTGCCATCTCCCGCCCCCCTTTTTCCCCCTTGTCACCCACCCACCCACATTTTATTCTCATTTCAACTTGAGGTTCCCACCCCTCGTGGCATTTCAAAACCCCTCAACCCTGGGTCCATCAAATGCACAGAGATCCTCGTAAATACCACTGGGAATTACTTTACAAACCAAACAAAAATGAGGTATGTACTTATTATTGGACTCTTCAAGACCAAAGAAACATTTTCTCTTCAAGTATTCCTGGAAAAACTACGAGGACTCAATTGTTGTCCATCCCTTTACACTTCACACTTTCGCATTCTAAATCCTCTCCCTTTAAATCGAACTACGCCAATTACATTTAATTACATCCAAATCAAAACATCGTCCGAAAAATCCATAACATCGGGCAATTGTACATATTCTTCAAATTTATAACAAATATATACCAAAACATTAACAATCTCTATATTTTTTTCAATTAAACCACTTTAAGGTATTTTTTATGGATAAATAATGACTGAATCCTTAAATTTAATGCACTGCGGTAAATGTGAGATATTCTCATTTGATTTTCATTTGGAATGAAATTTATTTTTCGTTCTACTTTAGTTTTTTCGGGGTGATATAAAGTGGAAAGAATAGACCGGTCTGGAAGGCATAAGACACCCTCCGCAATGAGACTTTAGTAGGGAATAGACAAATCGCTGGATCAAGGGCTGACTATTTCCTCTTTCTTTTGTTCGTCCTGGGGAAGTCGATAACAGTGGAACTATTCATTCCAGGAAGAAAGCCTCTCGTACACCTCCAGATAATCCAACTCTCTGTACGACGTACGTACTGGTGCACCATTTCCCTCAGCCTCTTTTCACCAATCGTCCTTTATCCATACTCTGATCCCCAGAAGATACCTTATCACCTCCATTTTTCCCTAGGACAATAACAGGATAAAACTAATCGCACCATCAGTCTGACTTAAATAAACAATTTCCCTTACCCCCTGATATATATTTTCCATTTGATTTCACTGCTCATTGTACAGGTAAATAAATCCTTCATCGCCGCTCCAGTATCAAAAATCCCTTGACTCAACTTTTCTCGTTACACCCTTTTATCAAATACAATCGAGAACTTTTACCCTCGCAAATAAATTTTAAAATGCCCCTCAAACTTTTAACTAAATCCAAGGTTGTTCCTCTCTTATTACCATTTTCTTTTTGTTTTCAACCCTTTACGCTCGATTATGTACGTCTTGGAGGGAAGATGAGCAAGATGAATAGATAAAGTTGTTTGCAATTTCTCCAATTTTTTTTCTTTCACTTTTTTTCCGTCTCCTGTTTTCTCTCTTTGACGTTGTCCTGACGTGAGGCCGCAGGCAATCGAAAATCGCTAAACCGTGGAAAGTTTTAATGGCCCCTGAGGATGGTGGAGAAGAATGGCAAGGACAAAAACCAATAGTGGAAAAACTGGCTCTGGGCAATCGGTTTTCTTTTTTATCTTGCATTTTTTTTTTTCGTTTTTATTTTTATTTTTAGGGGGAATTGTAACTTTTGGAAGAGTGAAAGTGGATGGAGAAAATTGCGGGGGTGAGGGCATGTATGAGGGGACTAAAGCCAAGACCATATCTTTTCCAATTCACCCCACAGTGAAATTCGGCAACGTATTGCCCTCGAGGGAGATTCTCCAAAGCCGTTACCAGAACTAGGGGCTTGATTACATCCTCATCCCGATTCCTCACCCTCAGCGACTCCTCAGGAATCCCCTCTAGATATTTTTCAGGTATTCCACACGATATATATAAAACATTTATATGTACACACAATATACACAATATTGGTCAATTCTCCCAATTTTCGGGGGAGCGATTAAAATGCCTTTTTAAAAAAAATTGGTGAAAGGTTCGCTGTTACTAATTTTTTTATGAGAAATTAACACATTTTACAGCAATTGGGGAAATAGAGATAGATAGATCTAATGTGGATTACGATTTCATATATTTTATATGTATTTAGAGTAGATATCTTTGGTAATGGTTTTCTC